CCCCCCCCCCCCCCCCCCCCAACACGCTAATGCAACTTTCTAAACAGATGATTTTGTGCAGAGGCAAGGAGAACAACGTTAGAAAACTCTAGAATCTATTGTAGTTGAAGAAGTTTCAAGCTGAGCAGGTCCATAGAGAGCTTAATGTCCACGAAGCTGGTCCAAATGGGTATAAACATTATCAGCTTGACTAAGTTCCTCAAACACAGGCAGAAGGTTGAGCAGCTCAGCGTCGTCCACGTCATCAAACCATGACACCACAGGAACCTGATGGAAACAAACTGTCACTCACAAACTGCTGGCTTTAACATCAAATATTCACATATAAACTGCACCTGCCAGAAGTGCAAATACAGTAAGAATCCAAAGCAGCACATCATTTTAATCAGGTGAACCATTTTAATCTGTATGTTTCTGTAAATAAAATTAGAACTGAAACAACCAGCAACTATTGTCATAATCAATAAATTGTGTTAGTCATTTTTCAAGCAAAAATGCCATCAGCTACTGACGTGAAATATTTGCTGCTTTTCTTTGTCATATATGAGAGTAAATGTTATGTCATTGGGTTTTTGGACCGTTGGTAGGACAAAACAAAACATTTGATGGCATTATAATAATTACTTTTCACTATTTTGTACCATATTACGAACAAAACGATAAGTCAATAAAGTAATCTCTCAGAACACTGAGAACTAAATCAGCTAATCTAATTTATTATTTTTATGAGCTCATCTCACATGGACCACAAACCTTCTCATCAAGCTTGAGGTCTGGAAAAAATCTTGTCAAAAAAGTTTGTGAAATAAGATCTAAGCTTTAGTACAAACAAGTTATCCTTTGCATAATTTTTATCCTACAGTGTCCCTGCCATTTTTTAAAACTAAATTTTGTTCCCTAAAGGAGCTGTATGTGACAGTCAGAGCATTAATAGAGCAGCAAACCACTATCTGTTATGTAAAGGTAATGGCGTCCTGAGCAGAAAATGAAGTCACGCTCCCTCTCTGTAGGTCATAATCTGAGCTCCTGTGTTCTTTGTTGTGGTAGCTGGTCCAGCCGTGCATGCATGTGAGTCCCATGTGTGTATCCAACAGGCTAACTATTCACCACTCTGTGCTCATACAGCGGTTGCTGCTGATAATGTCGTGTTGACCCACAGTAGCAGGATGGCGTTGTCGCAGAAGGGAAATGCCCAACCTTTTTGTTGACACCTTTAGCTTTGTCAGCACTGTTACTGTTGTTTAGCATTGTTGGCACTGTTAGCACCATTACCTGGTAGCAGCCAGCTCAGCCACCTCTATGTTGAAACTGTGTGCATACAATCCCGGTTCAGACTGTGAATAATAAATATGCTCTGATTGTCACACACAGCTAATTTAATTTTTCCAGGCCTCCATGAGCTTAATGAGACACAGGTATAAGAGCAGGTGCCACATCTTTTGAATGATGGATATCAATATTTTTTATCACAAGGAGGCACACAATAGCTGAAAAGATCAGCTCAAAACTCACAGCATTATTAGGGTGGAAGATGTAGGAGGCAGGAGAGTTATCCAGGATGAGGGTTTTGTGGAGATCTCTGCCCAGGCGGCTCAAATCCTTGACATAGCAGCCCTGGTGGAATACGCAAGATTCCCGGAATAACCGGGTCCGGAATACACCACACTGATCCAGCAGGTCCGTCACTGGGTCTGCATACTGGTGGAGGCCAGGGGGAGGTGGGGAGTGGGTGAGGGGAGAGCAGGTTGGACTAATGAAGCACTTTCTACCAATGGTGGATATTTAATAGAACAGCAAATAGCTATGAAACAGCATCACACATCCAAAATATCTACTTGTCTGGATTGGGTTGCACCAGCTATTTATAATCCCACTAATAGATTCGTGTTGTCATCCCTGAGTTCTTAGTAACTATCAAGTAGTCAAACTCGTGATTCCTAAACCGGGTTGCACCAATAAAACTTAAGAAAGTCACTGTGGCAGCACAAACTGTAATAGAACTGCCAAACAGAACAGTTTTATGGGACTTAACTTTGTTTAACGAATGCATACATGAGAATTATATGTGTTTTTTTTAGAGTTAGCAATATTCATGAAGTATAGAATTATGGAAGATAAACGATTATGCTAACTTCAGCTGCACTGTTTAGTCACTTGGTCAGATATGTCGACCATACAATGATATCTCTTTATCTTCAAACCAAACGATCACATGTTAGCAAGCTACCTAAATCTGCAATGATTAGTCAAATAGTCGATTGCCAGAGAATTACTGGCAACATTCTGATCATTGAATAATCGCTTTAGTCATTTTTTAAAGCCAAGTATCTGCTGGTTTCATGCATCTTAAATGTGAAATTTTGATGCTTCTCTTTGTCATACATAATTCTAAGACTGTTGGTCTGATGAAATAACCATCAGAAGATGTTGCCTTGGGCTCTGGAAAATTACACAGACATTTTTCACAATTTTCTGACATTTTAATTGAGAAAATAAATAGCAGATTAATCAAAATTTAAAATAACTCACTATTTTTATGTCTAAATATTTAGAACTATCTTGTGTACGTGATGCATCCCATTTTATTGTATTTAAACATCTACACTTACATTATCACAAGGCTAAGTTTGAGCTTACAAAGAGTTGATGCAAGCGGCTACGGATGAGCACAGAAACAAACCATAGCTTCAAACATGAGCATGGTGTCTACTTAGAGCATGTTACGCAGCTGCTATCACAGTAAAAGCAGAACTAAAGAGGCAGGAGAAAGCAGAACAACCTCTGATAGATCAGACAGGACAGCAAACATCAAACACACACACACACACAAAAAACTTGCTGAATAAGATATCTATTTTAGGATCTGCTTTAGTATCTGATGTGAAAAGTACCTTAGCAAGACTGGCTGTAAACAGCACACATTCAAACAACTCTCCCATTCTCTGCAGGAACTCATCCACATACGGCCTCTTCAGCACATACACCTGTGAAACAAACAGACTGTCAGTTAACAGTCCCACCAGTTTTACTCTCATTTAAATGTCTTTACATTTGAACCATCAACTTATTGTTTCCATCCGTTGGCTGCTAATGGCCAGTTCCTGAAACAAGTAATCAAGAATAGGCCGTGCCAGTGTTAACCAGCCTATCCTGGATTACTTGAACCAGGCAGAGGCCCACAGAGGGTTGCTTACCAGCACATGGGGTCCCAGGGATCACATTTCTGAGTTAATTACATTTCCACATGTCCAATAGTGAGAAGTTGGGCAAATGAAGTTGGGCTAATGGTCCAATACAGTGTGCTAGTTGAGCATTTTTTCAGCATCTTCACAGCGGCAGTTAAATGTACTGCATCACTTATTAATGAAATTTTAAATGAACTGGGCTGAAATGACTCATTTTCCTGCTGATGCATCCACTTGCGACTCCCTGTTCAACAGCTGGCCAGTAGAGGGCTCCGTGCACCCATCAGAGCAAAAACCTGGCTGATCAGTTACAAGACCCATCCCTTTTTTTAGCTCAGCAACCGCTGCAAACACATCAACATACATACACAAACACAGCCCCCTCCCCTCCACAGCAAACACACTCACACACAGTAGTTCACCTGGTGTGTGGTCCCCTCTATCTCCACAGGCACGATGAAGTCCGCATTACTAATAGGCTGGAGGGAGAACACAGAAGGAGATGGTTGGCATGCTCATTCACATGAGCCGCGCTGTGTACATTCACATGGCATTACATAACAAGTGAACACTTAGAACTAGACTCCACACCGCTGCCATAAATCACAGCGAAGAGCCTACACAAACAGAACATAATTCACTTGATGTTCCTCGAGCACGTGATGGTTTTAGTGAAGAAATTCTGATAGAAATTAATAAACAACCAGACCGATGCACCGCTGTCACAAGATGCCATTATGTGTAACATTTACTCGATGTTTGTTAAAATGAGGCATCAACCTCAAGAAAAATAAGCTTATGTGGTGTTACAGTGAAGGATTTCTTTGCTTTGGTACCTTGAATGAGCTATGCACCAGTGTCTCATCCAGGTCTATGACCACACATATCTTCCCTTGGTCCTGGGCCTCCACCTCGGGCAGGAGGCTCGGTTCAGACTGCTAAGGAGACACACAAAGGATTGTTTAATGGCACCGTCCCACATACACCTGTATAATTTCTCTTGTGTTATGTTTATACCTAAGAAGCATGATTAGTCCTGATAGTGCAGTGATTTATATGAAAATCCGACCACTGCTGTTTAATTTTACCTCTGGGAAATTAGATAAGACTCAGTTTTGGAGCTTCATGTATGTGTGGAAGGATGAAGGAGTGGGCTTCATTATGTCCTGTAACAGCTTCTATGTTGCATATATTTAAGATTAGCATATTTATGTCTTTGGTTATATCTCCCAAAAGCATCTCTGCAGGCATTATCTGCAGGGAGAACACATTAGCTTGACATGATCTCATTTTTAGATATCCAGTTTTCCCCCTTTGTTATTTCGGTTTCACTTTGGGCTTCCTGTGAGCACAGTCAATCTGAAATTAATTATTAATATATTACATAACGTAAATACGTTATCCGTAAGAAAGGCAAAAACTCTGAGAATAAATACTAAACATGGGCAACAACAACAACATTATTTCCCCAACTAAACAACATGATGCAACATAACCCCACCGGCGCCAACGTTTAATTTGGTTTGATTTCAGTGCCATACAATAACCAGGCCCTACAGATGCTTCTTCCTGTTTGCTCCTGATGCTGGAGGACACTCCTCAATGTGAACAAACATGGCAACTCATTAAAATGCCCCTTACATGGTACTGAAACTCTAATCAGGCTGACAGCGTTCACCAGCGTGGCCAGCCGTGTGCAGCAGGCGCTCAAGGCTTTATTTTTTTCTCCACCTCAGCAATTACCAGGCACACAATACACCATTCTCTGCTCGCTGTCTGCCTAAAGGATTGATAGTCGCTCTGTCGTTCTTATCTCCCTTGGAGGATCAAGTACGAACATCAAAGTGATTCCATATCCGCAGACAGTTGCGGTTAGCTTTCAAGATGTTCAGAGCAGGTGCAATAGTGGCTTTAGTGCGCAGTTGTAAAGAAAATAGTGCTTGAAGACAATAATAAGCTCATTTTTACAACAGCATGTTTAGTTTATTCCTACAGATGGCCAAACTATTCAAACACCTCCTCTTTTATGGTGAGCAGAGTGTGTGTGTGTGTGTGTGGGTGCGACAAGGAAGTGAAATGTTAAATAAACAAAAATAAAGGCAGAGCTGAACTGAGGTCTTCAAATTGTTTTCAGTGGTGTGAAACATTGCTGGAATAAGAATAGTGTTACCTTGACAACCGTCCCATTTTCCTGTGACTCCAGCAAGGGCTGCTGGGAAGGTGGTGGTGTTGGTGGTGGTGGTTTGGGGCCATCCTGAGCTTGGAGGCAACAGAAGAGCGCTTTGAAGATGTTACAACTCCGAGGCTGTTTCAGGGCAGACCGGCTCACCTGGCCTGTTTAGCACAGAGAAAGACACACTTTCATGAGCAAACCAAGTAAAACTGCAGATAGTCAACATGGAAATGTTAAGTGGGGCCTTGAATCACACGTCAGATACACGTAATCTAATGTTTTTTCCTCCCACACACACCAAACAAATCTTGTTACATGAAACTAGATGGAAATTTGATCAAAATCAATCACTTCAATTCAGCATAATTTGTCATGAGCTACTTGTAAAGTGTAAAAAGAGCTTCCCCCTTTCCTAAAGGCACCATCCATCTGTCTACAGGGATGGCACAGCCCGCACATGAAATCTGTTTTTAATGCGCCTGTCTCTGCTGCTGTTGCTGCTGCTGGAAATGGCTGGTACATGTTATATAATCACAGAGGGCGGGAAAACCCACACTTTTCAGCACTACCTTCAACAGAAAACACAGACAGAAAACATTCCAACCATTTTAAACTCCAAGACCTTACGGGGCTGCCTGAAGCTAGCCAGAACAGACGGACAGGCAGGCAGGCAGTGAGTCGGACAAGCAGTCACACCTCAGTGCTCTGTGGAGGTCTTTGATCAGTCACCGTAACCCTGACTGTCCCAGCCCCATACAAGACTTGTGGTGAAAGAAAGGGAGAAAAGCATTCCTGCAAGTCCCCTCTAGTGTGTTTCATGTGAGGACTTGCAAACTGAATTTATACCCATCAATACAGAGGCATCATAGTAAACACCCACAGCCTTTACTGGAAAGAGGAACTGTTGATAACAGCAAAAGTGGAGAGAAAAAGAAAGAGATTTTTTGTACTAATAATCCAGTTTCCATGCTGACCCTCACTGCTCTGAAGACATAATGCAGACACACCAATGACCATGTTACACAACACCATGTTTAAGAGACAAAGGAGCTTGATTTGGTAATTCCTCAGATGTCCACTCTTTCATTAGTCCTGCACACTTCTCTTTTCCTGAAAATATCATAATATCCCTTCAATATAATCCACATGATTAATGTGAATCCTGACAGCCAATCAGTGTAAACCAGCCTATTGATTTCCCACAGGAAGGCAGTATTGGTCATGTATGACATAACACATTTATTATATCCCCTCTGCATGTAAAAGGACGGACAGAGAACAGCAGATTAATCCTACAGTGATCTACTGGTGACAGGATGCGATATATTACTTTACCCCCACTCAATCTTACAAAACATGCACAGCAAAAAAATAAATAATTTTCCAAACCCGCACATTTAAACGTTACCTGCAGTCATGCAATGTGCACGATATCAGCAGCCATGTAGTGAGCCAGAATCAATGAGCAAAGCCTCTTTCAAGCCTGAGGAAAGCGTGCAAACAACGAAATCTTTGAAACGGCGCTACAATGGGCGTGTGCAGAGGGGTGTGTTTGTGCATTCCGCTGTCAACACCGCGGCACCTGGTATTTCTATACAGTCCCCCTGTTAATCAGCAGCCACTCCAGAGCCCCTTTTACACCCACCAGCCTGTGATATGTTTTATGATTTAATACAGAAACTGTGCTGTTTGTCTGTCTGGTAAAATCCAAGCAAACGTGGGAACAGTGCAGCAGTCTTTCTAATGCTACTGCCGCGCACTGATCTGTGACCACCACCTCCCCTATCTAAAATATGAACAAAACACCACATCATAGTTTATAAATGAACCAAACAGCTTGGTTTACACTGTACTGTTGTGCTGCCTGTGGTGACAGACGAGCTCCTCGCGCTGTACCTGGTAGTAGTAGGATATGGGATGGTGCCAAACAAGCTGGAACCTGATCGACATAAATACACGGCAGCTTGGTTTTTTTTTTTTTGGGGGGGGGGGGGGGGGCTTGCCATGATCACCAGCAGCACCACCAGCACTGATGAGAACTCAGCCATAATCACAACACCACATGTTAAGAAGCAGCACAAAAAAAGAGATAAAAACAGGATCAACAATGGCTAAGCTCTGGATGGCAAACCCAGTGCGTAATGGAGACTGTGAACTTATACTTGACCTTCTATTCAATAGTGTAGGAGCATTTTAGCTGTGGCAAAGCGACATGATCATCTCATCTCACTCCTGGTGGGTGTTGTTTTATTTTTGTTCTAGGAGTTGTTGCTCTTTGTGGTCTGCAGGTGAGGAAAAACAGCCTCTGGGTGCAACAGCATTAAGCACATTATGCCTATGTCACATTGTGTTTGTGATTAGATGTAAATATGAAGATATTTTTGGGTGAATGTGAAACAGAAAGGGGGCAATGCGCCTCTTTGACCGCGCGTCCGCAGCGCTCAACTGTCAAATGGGGGCACTACAGGCTTTCTCAATACACCAATCATTATTCAGAAAATACTCAAATAAAACCACACCACATGAAGCGGATATACCACTGCTTTAAAAGCACATATACACACACACATTTAACACAGGCCCATCTCACCTGTTTTCGGTGACACTTGAACGTCTTCTTTCTGCACTTGGGTGATAACAGAACTTTCCATCTGACAATCACGGAGCCCTCAAAATCCTCAAATCCTGTCCCCGAGCACTGATGGGCATCCCTCATTGGGTTTTATTGGCAAGTCGACTCAATTATTCGCCGAGGTAACTTGTCACATCCGCCTCAGTAACAATCCCCGATGAGAGTAGGGTTTATCTTGTTCCTGGGTTTCTTTATTCCCCCGCCGCTTCTTCTTCTTCTTCTCTCGGAGGTCCGCCGCCTGGGGAGGGGGCAAGGCACTTGGATATGTTTTTTTGGAGGCTATTTGAGCCTCTGTCAGCTCCGTCGTCTCGGGTTTACCACTACTATTACGGGTAATGTCGCCGAGCAGCCCCCCTCTACCCGTCGCTGCGAAGTCTTCACTCTTGCACCAACAACATGGAGAATCCAGGCGAGAGAAGGAAAACAACCGAGGAAATGGGGCAAGGGAGGGCGGTTTCAAGCCCCCCCTTACTACAGATAAACAACATCGCCCGAAAGGCCTCAAACAGCGACGGAAAACACCGAGAGTCGACCTCTACCGCCGGCTTCAGTGCGATAAAACGGATTTCCGTGATCGGTAAGATGTAAAGTATGAGTTTTGTTGTTATCCGGGGCTTTGTTTTTCTACGGTTGGGACTCCGCGGGCGCCTTGAAACCGTCCCCGCGCTCTGATTGGACGCCCGGGAGGAGGAGGGGCGTGGCCAAGGCATTCCTCCCCGTCCTGCACGCGCCGCGCCGAACACATTCCAGCGCTGCTCGTACAAATGAGATCACATTGTTTGTAAATTATTTAAAAAATAATGTTAATTTCTGCGACTGCATTAACATAACAAAGACGGCAGGCAGCGTATGTACCCGTTATTACAAATTAATTTATTTGTTTATTACGTTTATTTTATTTATTATTTATTTGTATTTATTTTCTACAAATATATGTATTTATTGTTTGTAGTCCGCTTTTTTTTTACTGTTATTCAACGTTAATAAATGTATCAGAGGAGTCTAAAATATTATTAATTATAAGCCAACAATAGTGCAATTATCTCAAAACAAAAGCACTTTACATTATCGGTGCATTAAATGTTTAAGAGCCCACGCTTCACGTGTTACCTTTTAGTTTCCAAGCATACAATTCGCGGTTTTAACGTGTAAAAACGCGATATCATAACCTCTGATTATCAGGAAACAAACATCAAAGCCGAGCCTGTTAAATAACATGCTAAAAAGTATATATTCAGTCAACAACACTAAACAAACAATATGCATGATGTATGTAACAACCTATAGATAATCTTATAGACCACCTCAGTTTACATTGAATATGTCTATCCTGCATCAGAGTGGTGTTGTTGGTAACTTCATGCAGAGCTACACGTAACTGTCCCTCAGTACTACTTTTTTGCAGGGCAGGCCTTTTGGGTAACAGAGGGCAGAGTGAAACCGATGACCCAGGCTCCTTTCATTTTCTCTCCACTCTTGCTTCCCTTTACTGACACAATCATAAAATGAAACTTTAACTTGTTCTCTGCCTGAAAACTGCTGGGGGACTTTTCTCTTTTGGCAAACCACGAACATTTGTGCAACAACAGGCTCTGATGCAGTTATTTTGCTGCTGATTATAAACTTTAAAAGGTTGGTTGCATTGTTTAAAAATACAGACAAGTATGAAGTTTAATCAACTCTGTTCAGAGTTTGTCATTATTTAGGTCTTAATCCAGTCAGTAATTAGACAACAAATGCACAAACAGCTGCTTGTTTTTAATTTAAACAACTTAAACTCAGCTGCAGATAAATCCTGTGTATTTTATAATAATTTTTCACCATATAGAGTGTAGTGATCTACTGAGTACCTAGACCTGAAACACATTTGTTTTACCCTGTTCAAATAAATAGAAGAGGGTTTGACATCATGTTAGGCAACGTGGTCACCCAGTGGGACCCCAGATATTTATATTTACAGCATGGAGGTTCTGCAACACCTCCTCAGAGTAAATCACAGTCATCCCCTTGCTGTAATGCACATTGAGCAACTGAGATGTGGAGTTAAGTGACAGCAGATACTTGCTATATTTAGGCACGTCAACACACATGAGATTGATGTAAAGGACACAGACTGCATGCATCCATAAGATGAGGAAAACAATAAAATAAACTTGTTAATAAAAGGAATAACTGCACAGTTGAAATAGTCACCCGGCCCATTCCAAACCCATGTGGGCCCATTACACCACGAGCTCAGCCAGTGCCCACAGTGGCCACAATGCAAGACATAAACAAGAATGGCCCCGCTGTTTGCATTCCTGGTGTCGGACATTTTAGGGCAGCACTGACAGATCTGTGTAAAAATATATACAAAATAAGTACGGACCGCACAGCTGGAAAATGTCATGCGGTTTACAGCTGATGCCACTGTTTACTAAATCAACTTGAAATTCATTATCTGTGCCTGATCGCTGCTGCGTCTTGCCCTCTTCTCCTTCTTCATCTGTTGCATTCCTCTTAACAGAAGACACAGAAAGAGTAAAGAGGGTCAGCTGGTGTTTGAGGCCCTGTGCTGAGTGTTAAGGGTGCCGCAGTTGTACCCCTGGAAAGATCTGCCCAAAACATGTGACTTCAAACATCAGGTACAAGTTAAAGCCACATCCATCTTCCATCAGTCAACAGGACTAATGTGCAAGCACGTAAAAAAACAGCGTGAGGCGGAAGGAGAAATAAATCACAAGTGTAGAATTCATCAGAGGGAAAAGGGAAAAGAAATGCAAACAAATGTGATTATCTTTAAATGATCCTGACATACAAGTCCTGTGTTTCCATGCTGTGGTTTATTGTGTTTGTTCAGTGCCACTGTTTGTTTACAATTCAATAACGCATTGAATGATTTTTATAATTGCAGTTCATTAAATCAGTCAGTCCTGGAAAACCGCAGTAATAAAACAACACTGGGTTTTCTGCTGTAGTAAATGCATCAAAGACGTCTTTTGGCAAAAATAAATCAACTTAAGTCACATTACGTTAAAGCAAATACACAAATACAACACTGTTAAAATATCTTATCAAAAAATCTGTTAATATATCACCCAGGCCACACACAAGGATTAAAAGATATTCTGTACAAAACTGTTCATCAAGTTACTGCGCAGCCAAAATCAGTGGTGATGTTGACATAAATGGCAAAAAATAAAAATCACATTAACCTCTTGCACACATACACACACACACACACACACACACACACACACACACACAAATATAAACTCCATCCATCAGGCGTTGTGGTTCTATTTCTACATTTCACACCTGGGAATCCACAGCGTCTACTTACAGCCCCATGCACTCTGCCATGCATTAACTACATCCAATCATGTTGATGACAAACTAGCTGTTGAAATGTGCTTGCAGCATCTGAGCCTCATGTAGGGCTGGGACTGTAGGGTCTACAATCATGTGATTTGCTGGAAGAGCCCACCCTCCCTCTCCCTCCCCCCTTACACCCTCCTCTCCTCCCCTACCCTCCCAGCTCGCAGGCCTGCCCCTGAGTGGCCTCTGCTAGGCTATGTTTCCAGGAAAGGGGCCTACTGGACAGGCTGTGAGGCCTAGGCAGGGAGACATTGGCTCATTGAGAAAAACAAAAACAGAGAGGGGCGGTGGGAAGACTCTCCCCTCTTACATAACTCTGCCTCCATGACAGGAAAAAAAAAGTTCCCCGCCACAATGCAAAGAAAAACCTGTCCGTCCGCCTCTCCTCGGCTTGCAAATGCTGAAGCACTTCAGGACAGGAATTCAGGCAACACTGAAACCAGCAGTGCTTGCTTACTGTTACACAATAGTTGCAACTCTTCAGTCATACCACCACCACAGGCATGTCACACACACATCTGAACGCACAGGAACATTAGAGTCAATGCACTGCAGCTCATTTAGTTTGTTTTGTTTGACACTATAATGCTGTTCCTGTGCAGCCTGAACAACACATAAACTGTGATGTAACACACTGTGTCATTTAATGTGTTGTGTTATGTTGTTCAGCTCTGGTGGTGAGACATTTACTGTATCTGAGGAGCCTCTCTGGTGGCCTGTACTGCCTCCCCGTGGCCAAAAGAGGAACTGCACTGAGTCTGAAAAATGAATTCAGTTTCCTCAAAGGACAAAAAAAATAACAGTCCTCAGAGGGTTTAAAGATATACTATGCAGGATTGTTGGTCACTGCTTGTAAACACACTCGCAGAGACAGTGAAACTAAAAACCAAACCCTAATTATTTTTGCTCACCTGAGTGCTGTGTGGATACATGCCCATACATCCCTGAAAAAGAATAAATTAAGAAAATACAGGCAGAGGGCAGAGTCTCTGCAGGAAAATGCACCGCCACACACTGAGAGTGGGACGTAAGTGATAATTGAGAGTGATTATTTCTTTATGAGTCCATAGGGTGCACTGAGGATGAGGTTTTCTGCAGGCTGACGAGCAAGTTAGTATCACCTTGGTTTCCTCGTCAAAAAGCCAATGGGATTTCACACTGGATTTTGGATTATTGCAGAAAATAAGCACTGTGGCAAGCAAGATCATCTACACGAATGAACACCACTTTTATGATTTTTGATGTGTAAATGCAATTGCCAGAAGTATAAAGCCAACATTAGGCTATAAACGAGCTACACCACTGTCACATGGCTTCATCATAGCCACCACAACGAGATTGTAAAAGATGTGTTCACAGTAATGGCGATCTGTAGTCTCATTTAGCCACATGTTAGCAATCACCTTTTTTAAGACACATAAAAGCTTCAAAATTCACGAGTGGGGTATTTACTGATGTGTTTTATGTCATAGAACAAATGTGAAAGTCTCTGAAGCTTGTATTAACCACAGACCTTATTTTAGACATCTAACAGAAAACCCTTCGACCTTTAGACGAGGGAACCTGACGTGAAAGATGCCAACTCATCTCTGTGTTTTAGGACTCATTCCTGCACCACTCTATACATTGTATAGAAATTGTTTTTGGGGGAAAATCCAGCAAAGTATACCTTTAAAAAACTCTTATTTAAATTAGTAAAAGTCTTAAATATTCTCTTGCAGGCGTCCGGGAGATGTTCACCTATAAACTAAAAGTGGAATTGAGGGTGTTGCATGAGTTTGTTGTGCTTTTTAATGATTATCTGGTTACAGGTCCCATTCATTATAGCATTAGGAATTATAGTTACATACAGCTGGAAAAGTACTGGAGAAAAAAAAGGTGATACAATAACGAATAATTGTAGGCCACATTGTCCCTATGGTTTTCTATTATACTTTCTTTGGCTGATTTGATCACAAAACAGATATTTAATTTAATTCTATGTGGCGTTAAAAAGGTTTTACTTAACTTGGTGAACCTGCAGAAATCATGAGATAGTTTTGTATCATGTTGTAGGGTGAGATTTATTGTTATGGATTACCTTATTTTACAGTAATCCACAAAATGTTTATTGTGAAAATTTCCATAATTTAATAAGTGGTAAATCTATACATATATGTGTATTATATCTTGTTCTTTGATTTAGACAGGGCACTACAATAACATGGTGCACATTGGCTGTTATATTAATAATGGCAGAGTGATGCAATGTGAGACAGTGAGGTGATAAATCATGTTTCCTGTCAGTGTTCATTTGTCCTACTGTTAATGCTGACATTAAAGGGGACCTAGTGACTATGGGTTTTTTAAAGGTTCAGTGTGTCGGATTAAGGGGCATCTTTTGGCAGAACTATGTTTTCATTAGTTTATAATCACCTGAAACTAAGAATTGTTTTGTTTTCTTTACCTTAACATGAGCCGCTTATATCCACATACGGAGTGGGTCCTCTTCCAGGCACATGGAAAAAGTTTCAGTTCTGCAATTTCACTGCTAGACGCCACTAAATCCTACACACTGGACCTTTAATAGTTATAGTCATTGAACTTATAAAACCCTCATTCACACCTGTAAACCAAGCGTCAACCTCCGGGGCTGAAAAATGAAGCAAACGCAAAGTGATAAAAACTGCAATTCTTCTGATGACCACTTGAGGCTGGCTCCAGATAAGATACCTATTAAGATACCCAGCTTTACAGCAGAAATAAACATGTTTACAGCCTGGCACAAATAACGGTTGGTCTCTATATCTGATTTCATCATCCATGACAACTGTGCAGTGGGTGAATTTTTATATAACTCACCTGTTTACATTTTATAAAGGCTTAACGTTATGCATTTTTAAGGGTGGGGCCACATGAGTGACAGGCTGTCTGCAAGGCGCTGATATAGTCTTTAAGTCCAGATCCAACCCTCACTCCTCCACAGCTCCACCCTTTTGTACAAATATAGTCACCTCTGGCTCCAAAAAGCCAAGATGGCAACAGCCGAAATACCAAGCTTGAGGCTTCAAAATGGCCGTCCACAAACCAGTGGGTGCCATCCATAATATTTTACGGTCCATGCTGTTTGGCAAAAATCATCTGAATTGTTTTACATTATCAGTTATTGAGGAGTGACTATAGATACAGACAATACAAACAGCAGCTTCTTCATTACTAAATAAAATAATCTGTTCCATTTATAAAAAAAATTCATTAGATCTACTATAAATAAACCTAGGAAGCACTTAGGAAGACTAAATGTGCTGGAGAAAGTAAAAGGTCAGTCAGGCTGCTCACAGCTGCACCTTTGAAATAAACGTCCACATTTGATTCAGGAGTCAAACTCTGGCTGCCGCTCTATCAGGATGGTCGTGTCGTTCCCTCTCTTGTTGGCTGGATCCAGGCAGGAAACTCCCAGAGCGATCAGACACAACCACGCCTGCAGCACAGACACAGACAGAGAGATTACAAATCAACTGATTCATCAGACCAAGATCACATATTTAATAAGGTAAAGCTTCAAATGGTGAACTATGCTGCTGTGTGATGTGACGATACATTATTTTTCTTTATAACTGTATTTATTAATTTATTTAGTTACTTTTTTAAAGTTAAATCCAAAAGATGTTTCCCAACATTCACAAACAGGCTACAAAAATACATTACAATGTAAAATAGAAAACAAAAGGAATTCTAATATAAATAGGAAACAACTACTCATACACATAAAAGGAACATATTCATACAACTCAATCACACCATCTTGGGTACCTGCACTTAAGGGGCGTTATTAGCCACTCTAATTTAGGGCTGCAACTAACGATTGTTTTAATGTTCGACTAATCAGCTGTTTTTTTTTTTCTTGATGAATCTTTTGTTCTGTAAAATATCAGAAAATAGTGAAACATTTTGGTTTTCCAGAGCTGTTTTGTAGCAAAGAGAATTCCTGCACACTGTCCTGTTACTTGCAACAAACTTCATTAAGCAAACAACGTTTCAGTCGTCAGACCTTCATCAGGTGGTACTACTTCACCTGATGAACATTTGTCATCTATGGACAGTTTTTCCTCCTACGCACCTGTCCACAACTTTTTGAAGGCGTGCATGAGCCTCCACATTCAGGTTTTCAGAGCTGATTTGTGCAAACAATAAGAGGGTGCTGACATTTGAGAAGCTGAAAGAATTTTTTTGGGGCATTTTTGCTTTAGTTAAATACATTTAAATGATTACTTGATTATTAAAATTGTTGCAAATTCATTTACTGTTGTTTTGTTGATTAATCGTTGCAGCCATGGGCGATTATGAGACAATGGGCCCCTGGAAACAGACATACTGAAGGCCCCACCACCTCTCCTTCATAGGATCACGACACAGGAATTTTATAGTATTTTTTAGCCTCTTTTTGTGGTTGTTTTGCAACACTTTGTAACCGTTACGCATCTCTCTGTGGTTTTGTTATGTGTGAATATTTTTTTGTGTCAGTAGTTCTTTTTCCCCTATATGTGTTGTTATGCCTTTGTTTGTAGTCACATTGGGTGTGTTTGTAGTCCTTTAGCATCTGTTTGTAGTCATTTAGCATCTGTTTGTAGTCATTTTGCTTGTTGTAGTCATTCTGGGTGTGTTTGTAGTTGCTGTAGTTCTCTTTGTGGTGATTGTGTGTTTCTTTATAGTCATTTTAAATCTCTTTGTAGTTGCTTTCCATCTCTTGGGGGTCATTTTGTGTCTCTTTGTGGTTGTTTGTAGTCCTTTTTGGTGTGTTTGTAGTCATTGTGGGTGTGGTTGTCGTCATTTTGCATCTATTTTTAGTCATTTTGCGTCTATCTGTAGTCATTTGGGGTGTGTTTGCCGTCATTTTGCATCTTTTTGTAGTCATTTTGCGTCTATCTGTAGTCATTTGGGGTGTGTTTGTCGTCATTTTGTATCTTTTTGTAGTCATTTTGGGTGTGTTTGTCATCATTTTGCAACTGTTTTTAGTCATTTTGCATCAATTTGAAGTCATTTTGGGTGTGTTTGTCATCATTTTGTGTCTTTTTGTAGTTATTTTGGGTGTGTTTGTAGTCATTTTGCATCTATTTGTAGTTCTTTTTGTCTATTTCTTTTTGTAGTCATTTTGGGTGTGTCTGTTATCATTTAGCATCTGTTTGTAGTCATTTTGGGTAAATCTGTAGTTGCTTTCCCTCTCTTTGTCATCATTTTGTGTCTTTTTGTAGTCATTTTGGGTGTGTTTGCCGTCATTTTGTGTCTTTTTGTAGTCATTTTGGGTGTGTTTGTCGTCATTTTGTGTCTTTTTGTAGTCATTTTGGGTGTGTTTGTCGTCATTTTGTGTCTTTTTGTAGTACAGTAAATATGTATCTTTTTGTAGTCATTTTGGGTGTGTTTGTCGTCATTTTGTGTCTTTTTGTAGTCATTTAGGGTGTGTTTGTCGTCATTTTGTGTCTTTTTGTAGTTCTGTTTGTCTGTTTCTTTTTGTAGTCATTTTGGGTGTGTCTGTTATCATTTAGCGTCTGTTTGTAGTCATTTTGGGTAAATGTGTAGTTGCTTTCCCTCTCTTTGTAGTCATTTTAAGTTTCTTTGTAGTTGCTTTCCATCTCTTGGGTAATTTTGAGTCTCTTTGTGGTTGTTTAGCCCTTTTCTTAGTTGTTGTGGTAAGCGTCTTTCTGTCCCTTTGCTGCTGTGACCTTGTGTTGATACTTTGTGTCTGTACTGCCTGTGTAGTTGAAGACTGAGTTGCTGGAACCAGTTTTAGGTTTCACAGTGCAACAATTTAGATCTGCCATCCCCTAAAGTTACCTACCAAATATCCCACAAATGTCAGGTATGCTATGGAGAGGAACGCTGCCAGCACATACAGCCACACACTGTTGAGGTCAGTCACATAGACCACCACAAAGTACATGTTGATGGCACACACAATCAGGATCACGATGCCGCCTCCAATCTTAAACACTCTGCAGGAGAAAGAGAACAAGTGTGTTTAAAGGAGAAACAATAATAATTTGTGTCTGTGTCCTTATGATGCAGATCAACTTACAATCCGTTGGCAAACTCGTTCATGAGAGATGGCAAACTGGTGAAAGTGAGGATGGGAATGAGGGCAAATGGCAACTGTGAAAGAGGAATGAATGTGTGTCATTATAAACCATTTAATGGGAAAGAAACGAAGCTGTCATTCCTACAAAGACAGGCTGAAAAGACTACTTAACGCTTTGGATATATGAGCTGAATGCTGCAGTATATCCAGACCTCAATGATGATGACGTAAATTCTCAAATAGTGCCCTTAATTTCTGATTTCCACAAACTCAAACCTGCCTCCATGTTTGTATTGATAAATTCACTATGTCCATTTCTATCCACGTCACTGATTCCATCAGTACAACACGAGTCCTTTCAGGTGCTCCACTTTGCTTTTTTTCCCCCAGAGAAGCTCTACACTTCCTCTAGAATTTTCACATTTAAATCTTGCAGCCTTGCCTTTATTGGTAGGCCTTTAATGTGAAAAAACATCAGGATGAATTGTTAACACTGACATGAGATTAACATCAAACAGAAAAACCACAAACAAGAAACAACTGGAGTTAATAGTTAAGTATGAATCAATTAAAACAGAAATTTAGAGCAGCAGAGTGGAGGATGAAACTTGACTCTATTAATGATATAATATGTAACTTTTCCACATTATATTCATTACAGTTATTAATCTTACATGGCCACAGATAGACACATTACCTCATCGCTATACATCCCGAAAACAGCTATGATTAAAGCCTCTAATGAGAGGTGAAACGTCTTCAAGAAACTCAAGTAAGTCCAGTTGCCTACGATATAGCACTACGATTACCATGACCTGGATGATCACCAACATAACACAGAAGATAGTGTTAAAAATAAGTTGTGCCTTTCCTTCACCCTCTTCCAAAGTCAAATGCACGTGCTACCCAGATTAAAATCTTTTCCACATGGAGCAGTGTCGCTCATGGGAAATGCAGTTGTCATTCCAGGAAACACTACTGCTTTTGTCACCAAAATCAACGTGACATTAAAGTTCCTTGTAGTTACTTTAATGTACTGATGGAATAAGTGCTGTGGAAATGTATGTTATACTTAATTTACAATGTGAGCTGTAGTAGTCATGTTTTTTTACCCAGCCTTTATTTGTTTGCTGGTTCCAAAGTGGAGCCAGTTTTTGTAACACAATCCAACTTGCTTGTTTATTTTAAAGGTCCAGTGTGTATGATTTAGAGGGATATATTGGCAGAAATAGAATAAAAAACAATGAGTATGTTTTCCTTAGTTTATAATCACCTGAAAAACAGAGTTATTGTGTTTTCTTTAACTTAAAATTAGCTGTTTATATCTACACAGGGAGCGGATATTCACATTTTTGCATCAACCACCACAGTTAGTAGCCCCTCTGCTCCGAGCAGTGTTGGAAAAACACAGATTTTTAAATGAGAAACTGCTTTATTAGTGTTTTTTTCCATATTAAATCGCTGGGTCTGATTTGTTAAGGGAGACACCTCTTGTCCTCAGCTCCTGGTAAAAACCTACTGAATGTCTGGATCTTAGGTTAGCAGAGAAAAAAAGGTGAGCACCTTTTAGCAGGTGCGAGACTAACAGTCCAGGAAGACACCTCTGCAGGGAGTTTCGCTCCTGCTAGAAGCCTCCTGAACATCTAGTTCAGAAATAAGGTGAGTGGAAATTAAGTTTTCTTAGAGAAAAAAAGGTGAGCACTGAGCACACATTAGCAGGTGCTCGGCTCGCAGCCTGTTTGCAACGTGCCAAAATAGGATAGAAGGACAGCTGATTTGTAATGTGAAACTGCTTTATTTAGTGTTTTGCCTGGTTTTAATCTCCAGGTTTGTTTGTTTTGGAGGGGAAGAGACTTCTGTGGATAATTTGCATCCCGCTAAACACTTCCTGAACAATGAAAACTGAAGGAATTTTAACCCGAAGTTTTAGCAGCTGCAATCTGCATTCCTCACCACTAGATGCAACTAACTCTCCCCGCATCTTATACACTTGACCCTTAATTATATTAACGTCCTTTGTTTTCTACTACAGGTTGTGAGAATGAACTGAAACACAGATAAAGTGTGATGAGATGTAAAAGGTGGAGAGGTGTTGGTGAAGCTGCAAGAGAACCAGTTTCCACTCCTGCCTGACCTGCATGCTCTGCAGCACGTTGAGGAAGTCGTTCATGCCCGTCAGATGCTGCACATCCTGGAAGATGGCCACCAGCAGGGTGGGAGTGATGGCGATGGAGCGGGTCAACAAAACCCGAGCGAAACGCGACCAGCGCAGATTCAAGAAACCCTGAGGACACAAAAAAAGAAAACTGTACTTTTTGTGACAACAGAGCGAACACACACGGTGAAGTCTCTGATGTAAAGCTACCAACACTAGGCCACAACTGGGGCAACCATTCAGTAAAACAACTGCCTGATGTGTAATCGTGATAAAAGTAAAGGATAGCACAGACATTTCATCTGTTTGTGTGTTTTTGTGCAGGGCTGATTCCTCCCTCCTCCACTGACCTCCATGACAAACTGGCCGGAGTACGTTCCAGTCATGGTGGAGCTCTGACCAGCTGCAAGGATCCCCACGGCCCAGATGTAGAGTGCTGCAGGGCCAAAGAAACAGCCCAGCACTACTCCCTGTGTAAACAGACATGTAAACAGAGAGGACGGTCAACAAAACTTCAGCAGCGTTACATTCACCAGAAAACAAGTTAAGTCCCACAGTGTCTCAGTAAAAACAGGGGAGAAATGAGATGAGTAATGTGAAAGGGGTCACACATTATGAAAAACCCACAAAGAATCATCACTTTCACCTCAAATTAACAGAGAATTTAGCATCTTTCAGCTCTTCGTTTCGCTGCTCAACAACAAACAGCAGACAGACACAGTTAGAGACTTGCTAGTGAACACAATGGAGCATTTAGCAGCTAAAGAGACAGATATTTTCTTCAGGAGTTGGTGGAGAGTCTAAAATGAAGTCTTTTCTTGTAATATTTTTATATTCTTAAATCTTAGAGCACAACTTCTGACAGTCAGCCTTTGTTACAAACTGGGACGCTTTATGGGAAGTGTAGAGTTTTTGGAGACAAATAAGTGCTAAGATCTTTTACTTAAAGCTCGACTGCAGGACTTTTACACATAAATCAACGTCTGACACATTCAAGCCTTTGCCAAATGAGTTCACACAATGCTGATGAAGCCTGTCAAAGCCAGAGAAAGCTCTCCGTATTTTGCAGTATAATGGAGTTTTGGTGTTGGGTGTCTGTGGCGATTTTACGGCTCTGGTGCACAGGAAATGCTGCATTTTTAGCCAGAGCTAAAGTGGAGACAAACCATAGCGACACAGCAGCAGAGTGAAAACTCCAAAGAGGCATTCAAGAAAAGTTTAGTAAAGAAATGAATTCAGCGCTCAGAGGAAGGTTTAAATCCAGAAAAAAGAAAGTCACTGACGTTGAGGACAAAAACAGATCACCATCGGTGTAATCTTTATGAGCAGACATCTGCATATGCATGCTGAATCTGTAGGCAACAGGATTTTGGTATTTGTTTGTAGTCCAAGTAGTACGGTCCAATCACATTTTAACATTGAGATAATTGGCCAAAATGCAATTTCGGAGCTAATTGGCTATAGTCTGAAGACGATCTTTTGATCTATCTTAATCTAAATCTGCAAAGTAACTTAGGTTGTCAAGTGAAAGTAGTGGAGTAAGAAGTTCAATATTTCCTTCTGAATAGTAGAGGAGTAGAAATATAAAGTGGCAGAAAATGGAAATAGTCAAGAAAAGTACTTCAAAACTGTACTTAAGTACTTTTGTGAACGTACTTAATAACTTCATACTAGAGACTTAAGCCGTGTCTCAATTCAGATACTTTCATTAGTATACTTCCATGTAGTACACTGTGTACACTATGTACTTACTTGCATAGTGTATGAATGTTGACAGGGTAGTGTTGTTTCAAATGAAACACAACTGTTGTGAAATGATGATCGCCACATTTGACCACTTCTTGTTATTTTTAAAGGCCAACTGTATCCAGACGGAGCATTACCATCAACATTGACCATAACATCCATCAAAATACCTGCAGGCTGGTTTGCTTGTTCACCGGAGCAATGGCAATAGCTACAGTCTCTACGGCCGCCATTTTCACAAGTCTGAGGGTCCCTCATCTTCCCCTACGTGGCCAAGATGGTAACCACTGAGTGAGAAATGTCCAGTGTTGCACACTCAACTTTTTGACCTTTATGAGTACACCATGGGGGTACTGCATTTGGCTATACTTGTCAGTGTAAACGCACTTGAAATAACATGTCTGAGTACAGTGGAATGTGAACTAGGACACAGCATTAAATCAATGTTATCTCCATTTCTGTGACCCCAATCAACAAAACTTCCTCAAGTGCCCACATTAACTAGCTGAACAATAACAACATCTCCATAGTAATATTGGCACAGTGACACCTTTAAACTTACCCCTTTGTAGAGGTTCACCTCCAAAGTTTCATTGTTCAGAGGGAAAATATCTAAATGAGGACTTCCTGTTTGATTGCAGACACTGTACTGGAATAAAAAACAAACACACACACATCTGTAGCACAGCAGCCAGAGAAAACACACATTATTTAACTTCCAAATGATGGTTTGAAGTTTCACTCTTGTTATATCATAAGAGCGTCTACAGAGACACTCACCACCTCTTCGTTTGTGCGTCCATAGAAAGCCTCAGCGAAAACAGCCACCACAAACACGTTGATGAGGAAGGAGACAAACAGCGCGATGGTCGACTCGATGAAGAAATATTTGTTGGCCTCTTTCACTTCTTTTTTGTTCGATCGATCCACTTCTCGAGACTGAGAGGACAATTGAACAGTTAGTGATTCGTTGACACAAGTTTTATACAGCAGATAAAAAAGGGGAGCGCTATAAATATCAAGTCGTGGATCGCACCTTGACGAGAGCAGAGTGGAGGTAAATGTTGTGAGGCATGATGACGGCTCCCACAATCCCGACGGCCTGACCCAGCTGGACCGGCCCGCAGCCCTCGCAGTATGGCATGAACATCCCCTTCAGCAGCTGGCCTTGGTCTGGTCTCACCGTCACATACTGCCAGAGAGGAAGCAGTGCATCAGTAGATGTTTATGAAATAAAAAGGAATCAATGATTTCATTACACAGTGTACTTAAACAGACGGCTCAGAAAAGGAACTCTTAACGTGAAAAGCCTGTTTTCAACAATCAAACAGGATTAAACTGCGTCACAGAGTCATCTTAGATCTGATGTGAGCAGTCAAACTAAATTTAAAAGCATAACCCAGGACATCAACAGAGATGTCATCAATGCACAGATAACAGATACTGCAAGAATAAAGGTAAATGCTCGCCCTTCTAACTCCATAACTCTACCTCGCCTTTTTAATTTATTCATAGAACCTTTGGCCCAAGCAATGCATCAGAATTAAAGGGTATAACTATAGGGAGAGTGGAGTATAAAGTAAGCCTGTATGCAGATGATGTATTGATTAAAATCATGGACCCTGGCTCAGGCCTACCTTTACCTATGAAAATGCTGGAAACCTTGGGCTATACACTGGTACTGTATGCCCTTAACATACACACAACTTTTGACATTTAATTACACTCCAACACAAGTTAAGTATTACACCAAAAACAAACTAAATCACTGCAATCAAAGAAGCTTAATGGAAGTTTTGGCAGCATGTTGTAGGTCAGCTGTGAGCTCAGACCTTGACAGAAGTAGAGACGACTATGAAATTAAAAAAACAAAACAATAATTAGCACTTACAAAGGACAGAAGTTTTCTCAGCTAATGTTAATTGTTTCCCCTTCTTTTATTTTTACTCGAGAAATTTCAGAGTGCTTGTTTTATCGGCCGCACATCAGTGTCAGCTGATATTCGCCTTGTTGACTGCCATCGGCCTATCGACAAATAAGATGATATTCACCAAAGGCAGTGGCCAACGTTTTTCCATTGTGCCCCATTATTTTCTGCAAGCTAAAAAGCAGGGCTCGAGACTAACGGATTGGGATCCTGTCATCCGGAGACAATCAAAAACATGTTTGAGATGAATGGAGATCTTCCCTGAGATGCTGTCAGGATGAAAGGAAACAGTTAACTCAATATGAACACAGAGGACGCACCCTATTGTTTCCTCGATAATGCTACACTGTGAACAACCAATCAGAGTTGAAATCAGCGAGAGGCGAGCTAGTTACCGTTAGCTGTTAGCAGCTGGATTTATGTATAAATAAATAAGAATTGTAAATGGTAAGTTAGTAAATTAAAGCACCAGACATACAAAATTTAACTACATGGAGCAAAAACCTCACTCTTGTAAAATGTCTTTTTTTAGTGAGCAACTTCAATAAACAGTAGTTTGAAGAAAAATTCATTTATGTTTTCACAGCAATATAAAGTAGATATTAGAGAGGGATGTATTATATGTAGTGAAAATATGCTTTTGAAGCAGTAATTAAAAAATGTTTTTCATGTGAGAGAAGGTTATGTTAGAGGTCATTTTATAAATGCATATGATTAAATTTAAGGTAGTGTAATGAAGGACTGAATGACTTTAAAACAGGTCAGTTAATTCTTATCTTTACTATATAATGATGAAAACTCTGTCTGTGTGTCTGTTCCAGGTTTTTCTCCTCACTGACTTGGTCAATCCATGTGAAATTTGGCACAGTGGTAGAGGGTCATGGGAGGATGTGAATGAAGCAATATTACATCAATTGGCCAAAGGGGGGCGCTATAACAACCGATTGAAATTGCAAACTTTGAATGGGCATATCTCATGCCCCGTATGTCGTAGAGACATGAAACTTTGCACAGAGATGCCTCTCCTCATGCGGAACAATTTTTTTGAACCCATAACTTCCGCTTATAGAGATTTTCCACCATTTTGAATTTTTTGAAAAACACTTCAAATGGATCTCTTCCTAGGAAGTTTGAGCGATCTGCATGAAACTGGGTGAACATAATCTAGGGACCAATATCTAAAGTTCCCTCTTGGCAAAAGTTGGAAAACTTACTAAAACTGAGCTTCTATAAGGCAATGAATATTGCGGAGGGCGTGGCTCATCACATAAAGGTGTATAACATCTCAAGGGTTTCACCCATCACCACGCAACTTTGTAGGCATATGACCACACATAATCTGAGGGGACCCCTCCATTATTGACCCCATCAAACAAAATGGGGGCGCTAGAGAGCTCATTTCTTATCTAGGCCTAACCGCCATATGGATTTTTACTAAACTTGGTAGATATGTAGAACAGGACGCCTCAAGGTGACTGGAGAAATTTAACTCTAATTGGCAACTGGGTGGCGCTATAACAACAGAAAAATGCTTCAAAATGGCTAAAATGCGACCGATCGCTGTGGCTCCCCCTGTGGACCAATGTTGGTGTTGTTTTCTAATGTTTGGTATGACTAAGTCATGGTATGGTATGCTGTACATAATCACGGAAACTGTCAGTGTGTCATTCTGTCAGTCAGTCATTCTGTCTGTCCCACGTTTTTCTACTCACTGACGTGGTCAATCTATGTGAAACTGCACATAGGCATTGAGGATTGGCATAGGTAGAAGGTGACAAAGCTACCAATGGGTATGGACTAGTTTATAGTATTTCTTTGTTTTCCTGATGCAAAAGGAGAAATAAATAACAACAACAAATTTAAAACAAAACAAAACAAAAAACCCTATGCATCGGCTACCTGCCAAATTCTTATTTTAAACATCGGTATCGGCCCAGAATCTCACAACTGGTGCATGCCTGATATGTAAGTGACATTTAAAGAGTGTAAATCATGAAAATGTTTCTTACTATGAGGCCACGGGTTAAAGTTGCTGCTGTTTAACCTCTTGCAGGGTTATTTTCTTGTTTCGGTTTGTTTGTCTGTCAGCAGGATAACAGAACAACTACTGGCCCTATTTTCATGAAACTTAGTGGAAGGGTGAAGCATGGAAGAAGGAAGAACCAATGACATTTTGGAGCAGATCCGCCTGATGGGACGGATACACAGATTATTTTTCTCTTTATTGTGAGACAGAGCATTTGGCCATGATGCATAAACTGCCATACATCCTAAACACCAGCAGATGGTATTAAAGTTCAACAGTGACAAAACACAGCTAACTAGATATATGATGACTCCATCACAAACCACATTCACAAGACCAGGAATCCTCTGAGGTGACTTGACATTTGCTCAACCTTCATACAGAGAGCAGGCGTTACGTAGCACTCTGAGACAGTGGTGTCATGGGACAACCAGTTTACTGTAACGCTCACTATTTAATAACAACTCTTTTTCTCTTGAAGTAAGGTGTGGCTGTAGAAACACAGTAAACACATATCATGCAACTAATTATATTCTTACTCACACCCCAGTGTGTGTGTGTGTGTGTGTGTGTGTGTGTGTGTGTGTGTGTGATTGTGTGTCTGCAATAAACTCCACCAGAAATATTAATTTAAATTTGACTCAAGTAAAACACAGTTTTTCATTTTCAGCTGTTCATGATGTTACTTCACTCAAAGCATTTGATAATTGTACATATGTACATAAAGTGTTTTTGGTTTTCACAAATGTATGTCAAGTATCTGAAATATATCCAGTTCAGAAGTAGATAATAAATGCACAGCTGTGATGATGAGGCTTCAGATAGGCACAACCACATTATAACATAATTCTGACAGTTTTGGAGATATACACAGACACATACAGTGGTTGCAATTGCAGATCTACATATCATAGAAGACTGGACTGCTGGCTTTAGTGTATGTCTGTGCTCACTGTGTGTCCCTCTAGTTTTTATTGCATTTAAAAGCACACACAGTACGTTGCTAAAGGCAGTGGTTCTCAACTGGTCCAGCCTCAGGGTCCAGATTTCTTCTCAGTCATTAGTTCAAGGTCCACACAGTTTAACACATTCAGTGTCATACCTGTGTTTGGTCATGTTGTTGGACTAGTTTGTTGTCTCTGTAATGCAGCTGTCCATTAGTCACTCACTCTACAGTAGGAAACGGTGCTTCAAAATAAAAGCTTTTCTTTAAATTTACTGTACTTAAAAATAAAGTTTGTTTTTTTTTACAAACTTGACATGTTCATGAGTCACTTGCAGTCCATTCAGAGTGGACCAGGACCTACCAGCTGGGAACCACTGGCTTTAAGTACATATGTAGATTTTAAGTGTGCAATAAATGTACATAAGGTGTCAAACCCACTGTGTTTGGCAGATTAACTGTAACTGTTATGTACTCCACTTATTTAGGGTAACAACTATTAATGTGTAAACAGACAAACAGGCAGCATACCAGTTCCTACACATAACACTGGAGGGCACAACGGTATCTCTGAAGGGACAAACAATACATAACAATAAAATTGGTTAAAATCAAGATGTAGCTAAACCTGAAAACCAGCCTGACGACCTGTTTCATGATAAGATTTTATTTTAGTCCAGCCTTGTGTGGCCTCGTTGGGCAGATCTGTTGTGATGGTAGACTAACAACATTTTCTGTTTTCTTTACTTCAGTTTTTATTGTTTGTGGCATTTCTGTATCCCACCTTGCTGAGGACAAATTCATAGCCACAAGCCTGGAGAGTGACTGGGATCAAATGTATTTGCTGCTGATTTTATGTGTAAAATTTAGGTGCCCTGACCTACAACTTATTACCTGGTTGTTATTTTCTCTGCCAGATTTATCAGATTATTTCAATATATAATTAGCCAACAGTACAAACAGGACCTTTTTACTTTTATCAAACAACTGAAGCTCCTACAAAAGTGCCGATGGCTGTATTTAAATTTTGATAATATTTCGATTAACTGTGCAGCCTTACTTGTGTCACATTCAACACTGGTGACCGGCTCAGGACTGTGAGGTTACATGTTATAAAGGAGAGGAAACGTCAGGTAAACAAGTTTCACTCAGTCATATCTGCAGATATGTGAATGTTTGTACCTCAAATCCAAAAGTGATGGCCATGATGGTGATGAGAAAACCGAAGAAGGCTTCCAGCTTCCTGAGACCTGCAGAGACAGAAATGAGGGTGCGTTATTCACTGTTGCTATAGTGACGTATTTTACTGTAACCAGTCCAAACACAACGTACCGTATTTATCTAGGAAGAGGAAGACAAACGTGTCGATGATGGTGATGAGGACGCCGCCCCACAAAGGGATCCTGTGGGTGAACAGTATTTTTACAGTGTGCTATTAGGACTTTAACTTAACCAAAGGATCTGAATTCTTCCTCCTCCACCTCTGCCCAGCAGCCATTAAATGTATATTTTGTCTATTTACATCACCTGCCCGAGGAGAGAAGGTTGAAAGCGATGGCGCAGCCGATGACCTCCTGCATGTCTGAGCCGATGATGGCGAGCTCCACCATCAACCACAGGATGATACGAGGCACCTGGACAGGTGACACATGTGATATTAATGTTTAGTATTAATAAAGTGTCCCAGCTGACAACAGATAATCCCAGAGAAAAAGATCAAAAAGATCAAAGGTGATGAAAAAAACTGATAGTTGCAGTCCTGGTATTTCCTGAATATGATGCTGTTCATGACACAGTTCCTTTTTGGAGCAGCAGCAGCTCAGTCATAGGGACTTGGGCTGGGAACTGGAGGGTCTCTGGTTCAAGTCCCCATACAGACCAAGTGTGGAGCATGGACTGGCAGCTGGAGAGGTGCCAGCTCACCACTGCCGAGGTACCCTCAAGTAATGCACTGAACACCAACTGCTCGCAGCACCTGCCCAAGGCAACCCCTCGCCCTGACACCTCTCTATTTAATGCAAGTGCAGGTCCTGTTTGTGCATGTGTGTGTATTTCGGGCCTGTGTGTATATGACAATAGAGTTTAAAAAAGGTGATAATGATAATCAACTGAGCCTGACTGAAGCCGAGCTGACACAGTTCGTCAGTCACATGATCAAAAACAGAAAAGTTCGGGTTAGTGACTGGAAACTGAAAACTTAAAATTACCTTCTGGAAATTTCAGAGAGGGAAATTTAAACCATATAATTTCAGATTCAGATGGTTTCCAGTATTTAATATTCCAGTGCAATCATCAGTGGTATTTAGTGTAAATTTCAACATTCAGCAGTGATTACATTCAACAATTGTTATCTTGCTTGTAAAATTCAAATGATTATGGTCTGTCTTAGTTTGCAGAGCAATTAAAAAGCACGCACATCCACAAACAAAATCGTGCAGGCGCTGAGCCAAAAATGTCTGAAACTGAAAAAGTGAAACTGAGATTTATTTCACCTAGTAGTGACAACGTTTTGAGCCACCACTCTTCAGATCATATAGGCAATACAAGACGCCATCTTAAAGTGGTAACATGATACAAAACAGCTGATTCCACTTACCCAGTAATCAATCTTAGTATAAAATACTATGTTAAATATTAACAATTGACTATAAAAAAATATATACCCTGTATCAAGTGTTAAATGTGAATACCACACAATACACAATAAGTATAAGCACATGAAAAACACACTTAAAGTAGTTTGAATACAGGTAATGAGGTCAGACTGTCATGAAGTATCAAACATACTAAAAGAGGTAGAGATGATACCACTTTTTCCTTCCTGATACCGATTCCGATCCCTGAACCTTAGGTATCTGCCGATACCAAGTACCGATCCGATACCAGCAAGTAAAATAAAAATGGATGGGATATGAATTGCTGGATGTCTCAACTCCTAAATCTCTATGTAAGATATTAAGAAATAAATACATAATAGTAGAATGAATGCCATAAATCTTTTTTTTAATTATTATAATCCAGTGTTGACACAGATCAAGACACAGGTTAAAGTGCAGCCACACAATTTGGTAAAAAAGACATTTTAAAGGCTACAGTAGAATGCTTTTTAAACTCCGCTCTGTTTCCGTTTCGTTTGCCTGTAGCGTGCGTATGCGTAATGATGTGAGGCATTACGTGGTATCGGATTGGTCATAGGCTGTACTCGCTGATACCCGATACCGCATTTTAGGAAGTATCGGAGGCATTTCCGATACTGGTATAGGTAAAGGTACAACTCTAAAAAGAGGCGCCTCTTACAGTTCAGAAAGGCGAAACAAAAAACAGCCAGGGAACAGCAATATAAATATCTGTATATATGCACTCTTAAGTACACCTAGGAACGCAGAGACCGAACAGTTTAGACAAAAGGCCTAATGTCACATTCTTCATTAAGACCTCTAGGTGACAAAGTGTCCAAGGTATAAGTCCAAAACAATTCATGCTGCAAAAGCAGATTGTCTCCTCTTCTCTGTGGAAGTTGAACATGCTCAATACTCACATAATTAAGAGAAGCAACAGGGTGGTTCATTAGGTTAAAGTGACAGGCTACTGGACTTTTGTTATCATGATTTCTGATGGTACTTCTGTGATCTGAGACTCTATTTTTCAGAGGTCTGGAAGTCTTACCAATATAAGCCAGGCCGCAGGGGCATTTAAGCATGTAAATGGCATTACTGGTTTTATAAGAGATGACACCTTTGACCTTAAAAACCTTTCCAGTGTGTGGGTGATAGAAAGTCCTGGTTTTACAGGTATTAAATTTGTTGAGTGAGGACAGAGGCCCAATCTAGGTTCAAATTATCAATGCTGATATTAAATATTACTCGTAAAGATATTGCAGTCCACACAGCAGGGCTTGTCTGAGTCCCTGGATTCAGTATCTATTTCATTCTCATTGAAATATTTGCAGCTTTAAACCTGACCCAAGAAGGTAAAACAGTTTATGCACATAAAAACTGACTGGACCGGTCCGGCAGTCCCAAAGACAAACATCTGAATTCTTCAGCTGTGCCTCATCGGGTCCTTTAAACACATCGCACAGTGTCAGAAAAGCTGTTCAGATGCAAACTTGAGAAGGGAGTAGGCTCCAGAGAACAAAAGAGCTGCTCACATGACTTTTAAAGCACGTGGTTAACAATAGTTCCACTTCAGGTCTTCAGGAAGCAGAAGCGTTGTTATTCAATAATTCATAAGTCACTCTGGATTTAACTTTAAACACATTTTCTCACAGTTTTAATAACTATCTTAGGCGCATATTTGGTTTTAACTGAATGCTTTAATCATATAATCCAGCAATTACAGCGACTGTAACAACAGAGCTCAGTCCTGGTTATACAGTGAGGCAGTTACAGTAAACAACAACTACTTATGCTTTCAGCCTCTCTGCATGCTGCTGCTGCTGAGACCCTACAGGCACACTGTATTTAGGAAGCAAGAACCAAACACCATTAAGAAAACAGTGAACGCACTGAGTGTTTGCAGGCACTGTAGATACTTCATGCAAACACCTGAGAGTACTGATATCTCACCGTTTGGTACTGGCGGTTGCAGACTTCGGCCAGGTGCATCCCGGTGACGACGCCAAGCCGTGCCGCCAGCCGCTGCAGCAGCAGGCCGATGATGGTGGCAGACAGGAGCACCCAGAGGAGCTGACAGGACGAGAACAGAAGCATCATCTGTTAATGAAGTTCACAAATAACTCCAATGTTTGTCGTCATAAATTCTCCTTTATAAATCTCTGAAAAACTTGTTTGTGAATGTAGTTTACAAATTTTATTAATGCATTTATTCCAGAAATAGTATCAATAGACCTTTTTCATGCAGACATTTGACTCGAACACAGTGAAATATATTTTGTGGATCAGTTTCATCAGCTGTCCCAGTAAGCCATGACAGTGAGCCAGTATACACACGTCAGTATCAGGAACCTGAAACTGGGTGCTTTTCCTGCAGTGACAAGCCATCTGGTGTGAATAACGTCTAAACTGAGGTTACTCTGACAGTGAGGTCAACCAGTAACCAGAAGACTGCATGTGATTTTGAATCTATACCCAGGTGTTCACAGGAGCACGTCTCTTTTCTCTGTGCATCCACACTGATCTTGTTAAATCTGAAAGTTGTAAATGCATCTTCTCCCCCGTTTCAGCCTCTCTCCAGACTAAATCTGTGTTTTATTCACCCCATAATGAAGCATTTCTAAATCAAAATCAGAGGTGTTTTAAATCTGCCTGCTGCAGCTTGGTGTCTCAGTGTGTACACAGAGCTTAATCAAAGTTTCTCAGCGAGGGTCTGTGTTTGTGTGGCAGTAAAGCTAAGAAGAACAACCTGTCGCCTCAAACCTTCTCTGTGATTTCTCATTTCAAAAGTCAATATAAACAAATACACAGAAGAGCGTTGCGCCTGATCTGTTTAAACATTTTTGAAGATTTTCCAGTCATTAAACTCTCTTTTTTTCTTATATTTCCTATTATCGGTCTCTTGACTTCTGCACTGTGTTTATTGTTATGCACAAAACAACAAATTCTTTATATGTGTAAACCTACTTGGCAATAAAAGCAAAGCACCCCAGACATCCCTCTCCACAGCAATGCTTCCCAGCTCCTCCTGGAGGACCCCGAGGCGTTCCCAGGCCAGATGAGATATGTAATCCCTCCAGCGTGTTCTGGGTCAGCCCTGGGGCCTCCTACCAGTGGGACGTGCCTGAAACACCTCTAACAGGAGGCGCCCAGAAGGATCCTGATCAGATGAACAAACCACCTCAACTGACCCCTTTCAACATGAAGGAGCAGCGGTTCTACTCCGAGCTCCCTCCAGATGTCCAACTTCAGTGATCCTAAAACCTCAGTGATCACAGGCAGTAAGAGGAGAGTGAAATGAAGACAACTCTCTGTCATCTCTAACCCTCTCTGTGACTTTACCACTGATATCGCTGATGCAGTTTTGTTGTCTGCCAACTGAGAAGAAGAAGAATGTTGTTCAGGTGTTTCTCTGTGGACTGAAGTCGCAACAAAAACTACATGGAAACATTAATGTGGACCTAAATTGCTCTCACACAAAAACAGTGATATAAAAATTAAAATGGCTTAATGGAGGCGTAGTGAAAGTCTATTGTTATTTGTGTACACCAACTTGAATTTCTCACACAGAGATTTTTCACAGGATTAAAAACGGTGATTTATAATTTCAGATGTGGGATTTATTTGTGATCAGCATTTTACAAAGTCTTTCAGGTCCTGGATTGATGCCACGACATCTATACCTGTTTCCTTTTGTGCAGCATTCATCATAGTCTGTTTTATGGTAAATATGAAAATAATAAAAGGAAGTGTATTTTTATTCTTTTTTTTTTTCTTTATTTTGATCTTACATAGGTTTTTCTTTCAACATTGTGGGGGTCAGATATTAAATGGGAGGTTAGGGGGTGCTCCACCAGGACATTTTGAACATCAAACAATGAATTTTTATGCACCAATTTTTCCCTTTTCTGCATCAAATTATGATGTAAATGTCTGTAATTTTGTCAAAATAAAAGTCCTCTGCTACGTTTATGGTTTTATTTTCTGTGCAGTTGAGGGGCTGGGGGTAAATGCACATATCTTTATCATTGCGGGGGACGTGTCTCTTGCGTTTCCCATGAAATCTACACCTATGCTTACATTATGCTGTCAGAGAAGATATACTCTCACATGTGTTTGTTTGTTAAATGATAGAGCTGCACAGCACAATACAGTGTTTTTTTTATCGTTACTGCGATGTCAACTTGCAAGAGGACGCAAAACACCGTGATACTGCACTCAGGGCTGTTTTGAGTTAGAGAGTATCAGTAGAAAACTGCACTTTGGGGTGTCGGTGGCTTAGTGGTAGAGCAGGCGCCCCATGTACAAGGCTGTTGCCGCAGCGGCCCGGGTTCGACTCCAGTCTGTGGCCCTTTGCTGCATGTCTCTCCCTGTGACAGTCAGTCTTTTTCTATTGGTGCTTTTTTCAAATCAGTTTAATGTTCAATTTGTTCAGTAAGAGAATGTTGGAAATAATCTCCTTTTCATTTTTAATTCAACAAGCAAACAATTGTATTTCAGCCGTACACTGAGAGAAGCAGAAAGGCAGAACTCAGTACACATTATTATCTTTTTATTTAACGTGAGTAATACGGTTATCGCATATTTTCCTTATATTGTCCAGATCTACAGGATGATACAACAATATAATAGGTAGGTATACGTTGATACAAGATCACATATTGTCTGGTAAAGTTTTTTTTTTAGATCATTTTTTTGGCTTTTGCCTTTATTTAATAGGACATTAAGTATCTTAAAAACACAAATAGGTGATGTTTTCTGGTGAATATTTTGCAGCTTTATGTGACTTGAAACTTGAGAAGAGTTACACAACATTAGATCCACACTCAGGTTTAACTCTGACATCTCGGTCACTCTCTGTGAATATTCACTCCCCCTCTCATTCACTTTATCTGAAGCTCTTCAGACTAATGAATTCATGAACATGTGTCCGGTTTTAAAGGACAAAGTTCACCTTTGTTAAACTTTGACCCGCAGTATCGTGAGAATCTCTAACGCCGAGCCAAGTCGAGAGAGAATAGAAGTGACCTGTTCTTCAGGAAGTGTCACTGTTAGTATTGTTATAGCTGAAACAATACAAACAGCAGGGTGAGAGGGAAGCTGCGTGTCCAGCAGTTATTAAAACACAGATAATGGGAGTGTTTGCTCAGACTGTGGATCATATTTCAGCTTGCTGAATGCTATTGTTTTCCTACCAGTCAAGTTATTTCCAGCAGCCTATACTTACAAATAGGGTTGTAATGATCCACTGATCTGGATCGATATATTGATTCAACAATCAATTATCAATGTCATCGAAAACATCGATTCATATCATCATCTTTAGGTTACGCCTGCATTTTGAAATTCTGTGTCACCGCCAAACAGCGGCAGGCAGACGGCAAGCAGCCAAGAGAAAGACAATGAGGATAAAGTTATCTACTCAGAAATAAAGCACAAGGACACAAGGACAAAGCATGTGCCGAATGTCACATCACAACCTGCTCGGCCAGGCATCTCACTCTGCTAACTTCTCACTGCAGCAACATTAGCTGCTGTTTCAACAATGTCAGGCTGAAAAAACAAGCATGCAGACTGAAATTCAACCGAGCTGTTCTGTGGGAAGATGCAGTGACTTAAACCAACGGTGAGTGAGGAAAATAATAAGGTTACATGTAACTTATTAAGCTGTAAGTAGAGGAAAAAGTCTGCTAGCTGCGAGGCTAATTTACGCAATGTAAACATGCATAAGCTAATAATGTGTGACTGGCAAAAACAGTTGTTTGTCTCTGAACCTTGACAGTTATTAAAACCTCCCTTGTTAAAAACATGCCTACAACATATAAGCTCATTTTGGCCTCATCAGTTCAGGTGTGACAGAGCCTTAAAATTAGGTCATGTAACTTTTGAAAGAATAAATGAGATAATTTTTGTCTTACAGATGAAAGACAGAGACAAGTTCAAGTCCTATGCAACAAATCACACCTTCCCTCTTTACTGTAAAATCAGTTTTGCTACATGTTTAATTAATGGAGTAATAATTAAGTAATGAATTACTGTAATAAATTATGTGTTTGTGTGTGATACATTCTGCCATGTAGCATAACTGATATTTCAATAGAATCACTCACTGACTTTCAGTGAAATCATTTTTTACTGTCCAAATTACTTATTCTGAGCAATTAAAATAATTTATTCTAGTAACTAATATTTCCCTAAGTGGCTTTGTGCGAAATTCAGAGCATACAAGTTGTCTGCATACGGTTCTCATCATAGAAGTATGTAAGCCGGCGGCTAGCAGCTAACAGTGCTAGCTCCATAAACAAAGGCAACAGTGCTGACAGAGCTAACAGTGTTAATCATAGAGCTTAGATTCTCTGCCCAAGCCCCAACCCGACCCGGACCCGACCCAGCCGTGATTTCCTGCCATTATCCTCAGGTTTGGACGGGTTGGGCGACGGTGACAGCATGTATGTCGGCTTCGTCGGGTGTACCAAGTGCAGCATGATGCTGGTATATGACAGCAAAAAGACGGGGACCGTCCTCGACACTTAAGAGGCACATGACGAAGACTAATATTAGCCAATATTAGGTTTTGCAGTTTCTGTCTTACACATAAAGAGTCTGGTCTCATCTAATACGAAACAGTGGGACACAGCTTGAGTCACAGTTTGATTATGATGTACATTTACCATATATGGTTATATCGATATCAAAAAAATATCCAGATTAATATTCGTACTTATTATTTCAAGCACGTCAGGCCATTCATAAAAGTGTTTAGTTAACACAGCAGTCAGTGACAATAATTGCATTAGTTACCTTGAAGCCAGCTTTAGCACCAGACTGCAGGTCAGACTCGATGTTACCTGGATCCAGGTAGGCAATGCTCATCAGAAACCCCGGCCCAGTGAAGGCCCACAGCTTACTGAAACTGAAGCACCTCTACAGGAGACACAAATACAGACTGTAAAATTGCTTCAAACTTTACTGTGCTGCACGTTGATGGGCATTAATCTAACACGGACTCATGCATTACCTCGCTGTTGTCCTCAGGAACAGGGACCCTCTGATCAAAGTACGTCCCAGAAACAGGTTCATCGTTCTGTTTCTGGAGGAAGACCGAAGGGGCGGACACTTTGTGAGTGTGTGTCGTCTGGATCACTGCGTTCTCTCCCTCCACATCACCAGCTGAAATATGAAATAACACTTCATAAATCACTATACACTGCAGTAAACACACACAACTCCACAGTTCAACACTCACAACATGTTTACAAATTTAATGACAGCACTGTGAAGAGGAAGTTACTGTTCATTAGCAGAGCAGAGTCATGAGTGTAAACACTTTTTACACTCCGATTCACAAATATACTGATAACATGATGTGTCTCAGTCCCCAGTCTGAGATATCTGAATGATTTTTCCTGCTACCCTGTAGAGACAGCTAGCTAGATGGATAGATGAGAAATAAAACTGCATAGATGTAAGTGTGCGGAAATCTTTTCTGCCCAATAAAACGAAGTGTTAAGGTGTTCTTGACATGTGGCGTTAATGAGAATGAGACAGATGCATGGTCACACTGACCTTGACCTCTGACCACCGAAATCCAATCAGTTCATTGTTACGTCCAAGTAAACGTTTGTGCCAAACTTAAAGTAATTGCCTCAAGGTGTTCTTGAGATATCATGTTCACAGGAATGACACAGAGAGGGCCACAGTGACCTTTGATCATTAAAATCTAATCAGTTCATGGTCGAGTCCAAGTGACCGTTTGTGCCAAATTTGAAGAGATTCCTTCAAGCTGTTCTCAAGATACTGCATTCACGAGAGTGGAGATAGATGCAAGGTCACAGTGGCCTTGACCTTTGACCCTTGACCACCAAAATCTAGTAAGTTCATCCTCAAGTCCAAGTGAATGTTTGTGCCAAATTTGAAGAAATTCCCTCAAGGTGTTCTTGACATATCGCGTTCATGAGAATGAGACTGACAAGGTCGTAGTGATCTTGACCTCTGACCACCAAAAACTGATCAGTTCATCGTTGAGTCCAAGTGGACATTTGTGCCAAATTTGAAGAAATTCCCTTGAGGTATTCTTGAGATATCGCCTTTACAAGGATGGGATGGCTGGATGGACAAACCAAAAACATAATGCTTATGGTCACAGCTGTCACCGGCGTGGAGGCATAAAAATGAGCTGCTGGTGGCACTACAGGAAAAGTTGGGGTCACTGAAGCCATCGCGATTCCTCCTCTGGTCCCCGTTAGTTCTCTTTGCAAAATTTCATGAAAATCCATCAGTTAATTGTTTTGATATTTCAGCCTGATTCAAAATGGTGAACCAGCCGACCAACACTGCCATCCCTCGAGCCTCGCTGCTAACATGGTTTAAAACAAGGATCATACTCTGAACACACACAGTGACAGTGACAGGTGAGTGAAAGCAGACAGATGAAGTGCAGAGATTCAGTAGTAAAATAATGAGCATCAACAGTTTGCCCTGGATTAAAAGAGAAAGCAGACAATGATCTTTCAGTGTCAGAGGAGACGTCTCTCCCGACACACAACAAAAACAAAAAGTGTCTACAAAACAAACGTCCTCACCTTGTCCTCCAGTTTGTTCTGTCTCGTGGTCTGTGGGAACACTGGGAGGCAGACAGGAGATGTGGATGTTCTCAGGCGGAGGTTCTCTGCCTGCAAGCAAACAGGTTATTATACTGAGATTATAACTCACTGTACGTGATCACAGCGCACACAAAACTAAATCCTCCACACACACAGAGCCATGAGAAAAAAGTGCAAATGTATTGCAAATTAACGAAGTGTTGCTGGGTCCCCAATGAAGCCTCATTCATCCATTAATTAATCAGGATAATAAAAAGCGTTAGTTGCATGTTATCATGTCAGTATGTTTCATGGTATTTTTGGTTTCTTTTAAGTGGTCACATGCAGGGGTGCATATGGGATTTACATACATACATACATACATATNTAACACAGTAGCCAGAACTATAACTATAATATTATTACTTTCAATAATGTTGTTATAAGCTACTGTCATTACCTGCATCTCTCTCTCTCTCTCTCTCTCTCTCTCTCTCATTCTATTGCACATCTGTCCGTCCTGGAAGAGGGATCCCTCCTCAGTTGCTCTTCCTGAGGTTTCTACCGTTTTTTTCCCCGTTAAAGGGGTTTTTTTTGGGGAGTTTTTCCTTATCCGCTGCGAGGGTCATAAGGACAGAGGGATGTCGTATGCTGTAAAGCCCTGTGAGGCAAATTGTGATTTGTGATATTGGGCTTTATAAATAAAATTGATTGATTGATTGATTGATTAAAGATCAGTCAGATATAGTCAGGGCTTCACATCTGTACAGATGTTATTTTACGAATCCTCACATCCCACTGACCACGAGTCTTTTTGATGCTAAATACTTCAATAATTAAAATAGCCCATTGTTAATATACAGTAGACTACATATAGTTTGTGATACAGTTAAAATGGCCAAAAATGTGAATAACTGCATTGCAAGATGATTTAAGGTGTGTCCCAACATTTTCTGCTTGTGCTCCTAAAATTCTCAGTTAGGGACTACAGTGCTCTACTAAAAAAAAGTTAGTCTGGAGCCTAAGTTGATTTAGTTGTGTTCACAAATTCAGATTAAGATATTAAAAGAAACTCAAAACATTAAGGAGCTGCCTGATCAGTGTTTTAAGATTTAATTACGATGTGTGCTTAATGACGTTATACCTGTGCAGTACACTGTTTTGGCTATGGTTGCCATAATGATGCTGGTTAAGCCGGTTCCCGCTCCCAGCTCCAGGACTGTGGCTCCTCTGAATATGTGTGGTTTAGAGACGATAAAGTCAGCCAAGAAGAATGCCCCTCGCCACACCTGATGTGAACAGAAAGACGTTATGCGTTAATGTCTTCTTTACATTAACCACTACTTGAAAAATTCATGGCACAGTTCAGTATTAACATTTATGTTTTTAGCATCAACATGATTTATATTTACACATTTTGAAAATATATCTATTCAAATTCATTTAAATGAATCAGCTTAACCTCATTCCCAATACACATAACAGTGGAACCAATGAAGGGCAAACCCAAAAATGCCGAACCATCATGTAAAGTGAGCCAGAATTGTTTGGTCAACGGTATCAAAAACGTGAGAAGAATTAAGATTAAGAATTAAGTGCATTTACCTGCACCTGCAACACAGTGAAGGTTTTTTGTCACTCTAAGGAGTGTCACTGACCCTGATTACACTTGGTTTTAAGATGCACTTCATTAATCCAAACACATACTGACAATCACACTTGTATCTGTCAGGAGTCTCCAGCTGACCACTTGTGATGAGGTTTTGTTACTCCCAACTTCACTTATGCTAGAAAGTCAAAGAGCCCTTCACACAGTTATTGCACCCACACTCTTGCCAGTCATGTAAGTGGTTGTGTCAATACAGTTGGAGATATTGTGGTTAGCAGACAACGTCTACTTCCATAGGACAAAACCACGGATGGTCACACAACACTTAGTCCAACTCATTGTAAATTGGCCGAGATATAGAGCATTAGTGTGCTGTCACCAAATGCATTCATAATGTAGTCCTTGTCAGGGGCGCAGATGGGATTTTTGAACTGGGGGGACCAAGCTGTCAGCAAATGATTCCAACTCAATTAGTTATTTTGTGTAAATACATACATACATATATATATATATACACTGAAGCTGCAATAAACATTAGAATCTACACTAGCCATACATGATCAAACTGTTGCTGCTTACTAAAATAACATTATACATAGAAATAACAACATTAAAGATATTCACCTACAGCCTAGAATGCTGTTATTTTACATTTAGCCTACTTCAGTCCAAATGCCTTCTTATTATTGTCAGACTAGTTACTCAACATTACAAAACAAATATTTGCCACATCTGGGAAAGTCAACAGGCAACAGGCATAGGATATTTACATTTTTTGGTTCTTGTTCTTGTGATTATTTTTCTTTCTTCTCTGGCTTCATGTGGCAGAAAAATCACCAGCTCAGCCTCAGTCATTAGACAGTTGTATATGATCACTTTGTTTACCGCTACAGGAACAGGCACAGCTACCAGCTCCTCTTAGGACCCCGGGGTCGAGAATCGTGCCTTATGGTGCGTTATATTTACACTGGAAGTCGGAACTTGGAGCTCTGAACAACGTAACCTCCGAACTGAGCGCTTCCCAGTTTAAAAACTGGGACATGGAACATGGAATTCGAAAAAAATGGACAGTTAATGAAATGAAATGAAAACCCCAACGTTTGTGCTTGTAGATGCTAGATTTCAACGCTTTTCCAACTTCAAAACTCCGACTTACGAGTACAACTGAACGCACCATTAGTCGTAGCACAAACACCGGGCTATCAATGGATCAGCTTTGCAGTGTTATTAACCGAGAATTACGTGGAAAATTGAACACCTTGCTTTCCCAACTCAGCAAGGATCTGCTCCGAACATTGATCCTCTTTTTTACCTATGTGTGGGGGGGACAGATCGGGGTCACTCTAAATCTGGGGGGGACGTGTCCCCCCCCCAGTCCCCAGTGTCATCTGCGCGCATGGTCACATGTATGCATGACAGTAGTGGAAAGTAACTAAGTACATTAACTCAAGTAATATACATAAGTACAATTTTAATGTACTTCTCCACAAGTATTTGAATTTTATGTCACTTTCTGCTCCTGCTCCACCACATTTTGTGAGCCAGTGTTGTACTTTTTACCCCATTACATGTATTTAACAACATAAATTACTGTGGAGATTCAGATTATCAATGCAAAATATAAATAAACTAATAAACTATGATTATCACACGTTAAACTACCCAGCAGTATAGAAAGCAAAGAAAATTAGCTCCACCTTTACCAGCTGCAACATTAATGTGATGAACATATCCTCCTGAGACCCTGTGTCCTCATATGAGGACATCACATTTTGGGTTTACTTGACTTTACACTTCATTCTGCTTAACTTAGACCTCACACTTCACTGTCCTGTCAATTAAAGGCAAAAAATGCCCTAAAAATATCTTTAAAAAAAAGAAAAAAAGTGGACAAGATCCAAAACCTGATCACATTTTATGGCTGGCTGGATTAATAACGTTTGTGGTTTGTTATGGCAACAAATGTGACCAATTTTAGCAACAGTAATGGTAACAGTAACATTGGGACTTAATTATAGTTGACAGTGTTTAGTCTTTTATACTAATCAGATCCTGCTAATCCCAAATAGCTAGGATAAATTAAAAATGCATACCAAATTAAAGTTCAGGTGTCAGGAGGATGTTAATTCATCAGTAATTATAATCCAGTAATAATAATATCATAAACAGTATTCTGCAATGGGCCATTCTGCATACTGAATAGTTTTGTACTTTAATTTAATGGCAATACATTTGCACTTTCCCGAAGTAAGAGTTTTTTTAACGCAGTACTTTCACTTGTAACTGAGTATTTCTACACTGTAGTATTGCTACTTATACTCAAGTAAAACATGTGCGAACTTCTCCCATCACTGGTATACGACAAAACGAACACATTTTATGTTTGGTAGATAAATTGATTAGTTGATCGACACTTTTTAACCGACATTTTTTAAGCAAAAACTTCAATCATTCTCTAGTTGTGAGGATTTTATCTTTTTTTCCCCTTCTGTTTTATTTCATTAAAAACTGAATATCTTCGGATTTGGGCATCTGAAGCCGTCACCTTGGACTTTTCTTTCTGTCTTGAAATCTTTGACGCTCAGTGGCCACTTTATTAGGTACGCCAGTAAAACCGAATGCAATCCAATAAAACTCAGCCATAAATTCTACTTTTACAAAGATAATAATGTTCAGTTTTGACTGATACCCCAGAAAGGTATTAATGTAACTACATATTAATTTATTATTATTATTATTATTTGCAGTATGGCCGTCTCTGCCTCTAGCTGATGTATTATAATTACTTCTTACTGTTACAATACTGCACATACACTTAATTGTACCATATAAGCATTCACATACCCATACACATTTATATACATAAATATGTCTACAATTGTTAAATGGCCTCGCCCCCTCTGACATCATAGAGCTCCTCTCCCCATATCACACTGTGAAAGAACTGAGATCGTCTGACCAAAGACTTCTGTCTGTCCTGAGATCCAGGACTAAGTGTTATGGAGACAGAGCTTTCTCTATTGCCCCAACTCTGGAATTTGCTTCCTCCCACCGTCCGATTCTCCTCCACCACTGAGGTCATCTTTCACTCACCAGCCTTTAACTGTACATAATGTGATTGTCTTCGTTGCTGTTACTACTACTACAGATTTGTATTTCTGTTCTTACTTCTGTGTTTGCTTTTCTCTGTGTGTGCTGCGAGAACACTTTAGATCAACTCTGTGTTTAAAGTGCTGTAGAAGTTGACTTAACTTGACTTGTATTTATTCTACTGTCTCTATGCTGTATATATCTGACATAAATTATATACACTGTACTCATATCACCTCCAGCTGTTTGTTCTGTTTGTGTTATCTCACTATTGCCATTATTATACCTGCACTATATTTCATGGCTTTTCATACTGTATATTTATCGTAACATATTCGTACCCTCACTGTTTATTCTACAGTACATCACTCCAGTCCTGACGTATTTACACTGGCTTCCTGTCTGTAAAAGAACTGTTTTCAAAATGCTGCAGTTGATTTATAAAGCGGTAAAAGGTTTTAGGGCCCAAACACATTTCTGATCTTTTCCTACACTATGAACCGTCGAAACCTCTCAGGTCATCTGGTTTTGTGTCCTCAGAGTCAAAACTAAACATGGAGAGGCAGCGTTCAGATTTCATGCACCAAATATCTGGAACAAACTCACAGAAAACTTCAGGTCTGCTGCAACTCTAAGTTCTTTTAAATCAAGGCTGAAGACTTTTCTGTTTGCCCCTGCCTTTAATTAAATCAAATATTTATTCATTTCTCACACTGCACTGTAACTTTTTTATGACTGATTTAATTGTATTTAAATGTCTTTTTATAATGTGTTTCTTTTGCACTTCGTCTCAGTGGTTTTATGTCTTACTATATACAGAGGACTTTGAATTTTCTTGTTGCTAAAATGTGCTATTTAAATAAACCTGTCCTGCCTTAAATTCTAGATTTATTCAATGTATTACAATTTATCGGTGGCTCAGAGGCAGGGCAGGTCGTCCACTAATCAGAAGCTTGGTGGCTCAATCCCCAGCTCCTCCAGTCCAAATGTCGAAGTATCCTTGGGCAGGCTACTGAACCCCAAATTGCTCCTGATGGCTGTGAGTGCCTGTGAATCATTACTGAGTAGCAGGCGGCACCATGTATGGCAGCCTCGGCCACCAGTGTGTGAATGTGATGTAGTGTAAAAGCACTTTGAGTGGTCAAAGGACTTGTAAAAGGTGCTTTACAAGTGCAGTAAATGTACACACGTGTGTATTAGTTTGAACTGATTTTGTTGTCTCAGTGCACTGACAATCAGGTTGACTCTAATCTAATCTAATTTTAGAGGTTGTAGTTTGCAGTAGGGTTGAACTGGAGTGCATTACACTGAGATATAAACATGAGGTGGGAAGAATATCAGAAACACAAATCCAGGGGCATTGGTGGCTTAGTGGATAGAGCAGGGGCCCCATGTACAAGGCTTTTAGACGTGTCCCTAATTAATGGGGCACTAAATGTAGACCAAATGATTAATCAGTTAAATAAACTACAATCATTACAGTCTGAAAACTTGATATTGACACAGAGACTTTCTACAAGACACAAGATCAGGTAACAAAGGGCCTGTCTGTTGAAATTTTCTTTAATGGTGCAAATTCCTAAATGAAGTTGCAATTAACCAAGGGTGTCTACAGGTATCAGACGCTTTTTAAGACTCGTTCAAGACACATTTTAACCAAATTTAGGCCAGATTTTTGGACAAATCATGTTTTACTTATTTAAGCATCGCAGGTAAGTAGTATCTATGTGGTCTTGTGAAATTAGATAAAATGTTTGTAGTCGTTAAGACCTCACAAATTCAAATTTAAGACTATTTAATGACTTTTAAGGCCTTATTGTTGTGGCACTGAATTTAAGACATTTAAAGAAGGACCTGCAGACACCCTGCAATCAAACTGCAACCAGCTGATATGAAGCGAATCTGGTGCCTCTGGAAAAAAACATCACAGCAAAACTTCCTGTGAGAACTTCATGGGGGATGTTACATTATCCCATCGGAAATGATAAATGTCATTAAACATTACAACATGATGAGGTCAGTATGAACTTTGTCACATAATAAATCACTTTTTAAATGAGCACACGTAGTGTTTGATCATTAGAGTATAAAGAAGTGGTAGAAGACAACTGTTTGTTAATGTAGGTGCACCCTGCTCTACTGTAATAAGGGACATTATATATAGATGTATGTGTAGGATATCTGAGTCTGTAAACAGTAACTTTACCAACCCTGAACTGAGCTCCATCAGGTTCTCATCTAAAATGTGTAACTATGTGTGTTTGAAAATGTACTGTCACTGTGGGATGTCTTTTGTGGACTTACTTTATTAATCTTTGTTTTGTTTTATTTTATTATTGTATTGTAATTCTCCACACTATTGACCCTTTTGAGCTGTGTCCATATGAAGTCTGACTTCAACTGAATTTCAAGATCTCTTACTCGAGTAAAAGTACCAATACAACAATGTAAAATTACTCTGTTACAAGTAAAAGTCCTGCATTTAAAATCCAGAAGGTTTAGCTGTAAGATGTACTTAAAGGGCAACTTTGGCATTTTTCAATCTGGACCCCATTTTCACATGTTTTTGTGTCCAAGTGACAAAAGGTGACAATAGATCTTGAAAATGGTCAAAGTTTTAGTGAGACAGTTGCAGCTGGCGGCAGCAAAACAGGCTTCAGTGTTACCACTTGGGGCAAATGTGCATCGTCCATTTACATCCACTAAAGCCCCGTTTCCACCAAACACTTTCAGTACAATACCAACAGTAACCCTTCAGACATGGTACCTAGACACTAGGGTTGTCAAAAGTATCGATACTCTGAAAAGTATCGATACTCAAACGCTGTATCCGGATACAATACAAATTTACAAAAGTGTTGATACTAACAGTGCGCGCCACCTCAGCGCCTGTCGGGTGCGCGCGACGGGTCCCACGGACACGTGCTGTGCAGGCAGCGTCTGGCAGGCACAGAGCCCTCACTGCAACCCGGCTTGTTGTAGTCGCTGTGCATGCATGCACACATTTCTGTTGCTGTAATATGGCCAGCGTGGCTGCAGGAGGATCAGAGCAGCCAGTTTTGGTCAAAAATGATAAAGGAAAAAGCGCTCTTTGGAAATATTTAGTGAAGTGAACACAGCACGCTGCAGACGGCAGGTACACTTCAAGTCCGCAGTGCGGTTCACTTAACCTGTCACTTGTGAACACAAAGTGCTCCAGGTTCACTTTGCTCTTTGCTGTTGTATTTAGTCCTCTAGATCACATGCTGTTGACCTGGGACACTTGAAAAAACAGACGAAACCACTTTGGCCTGCAACGCTTGCAAGGACGCAGAACGAGGAGTAGTTTGGTCCACAGAAGATACCACATGTCTCCAGATGCGGAATGTAGAATACATCAAATGTCAACAGTCTGCAGCACAGAAACACTAATGTTTGCTCCAATTTTAAGTTCTTCTGAAAGCAAAGGGCTTCATAACCACACTGCAGTGTCACGGCAAAGTAAAGAAATAAACTGTGTTAACATATATATTATATATAGGCTGTAGTGTGAACAGAAAGAGGACTGAGGCCTCATCAGAGCTGAGAGTCCTTTTTCAAATGAACTGACAATGTGAACACAAAAAGAACCGAGTCCCTTTTCTGTTGGTCCACTTTTTGGTGCACTTTAAGAGGACTGAGTTTGGTTTGTTTAAAAAGGACTACATGTGAAAACACCCTTAGAGGACACACACTGAGGGTGCACAATTGCCCCGAGTGTTTACGCTGCAGCCTTCTCAATAGATACTGGACCAGTTTCAAACATATTGGTTCCCACCAGTCACGTAAACACAAACAGCTGTAAAAACAGGGAGCAGGTTGAAAACTACCTTTTAATTTAAAGTGTCAAATGAAAAAGTAGACTTTATGCTGTAAAATAAAATTTTATTACATGTGATGTTGTTAGATTGGTAATACTGATGCATTAAGACACAAAGTTCTGAAACTATTTCTTTTTTTTAATCTAACATATAACTTTTTGGTAAACGTTGGGCTTAAAACAGAAATTTAAATAAAACTTTTTCGTTTTTCACGTTCAGTGTTACTATGAATTAGTAATACATTAATTTCAAGGTGCAAAGTACAGCAGTTCCCTCTGAGCTGTGGTGCAGCAGAAGTAGAAAGTGCCATAAAATGGAACAAGCAGTATTTTAAATGTGTATTTAACTACACCACCTGAGTAAATGTACTCAGTTACATTCCACCACAGCTGTCTTTACAAACAATCTGAGATATTAATTAAAGTTGACTCACCTGAGCGCAGGAAGGCAAACATCTTCCTCTTGTGAGACATTTCTCTTCAGTTACTCTCTTCAAACTCTGAGGAAACAAAAACCTCCAAACGAAACTACATTCCGGGAACTTGATTCATTTTGTTTTCCTGCCGCTTCCCGGTTGTTTCCAGTTTATGGAGAGCAGGAACATCCGGCAGGTTGGACATCGTCCCTCCGACTGAAGGTGTGGACTCACCGGACAGGTAGAAGAGGAGGACAAAAGTCCACAAACACACACCTGCAGGGTTTCACAAGAACCCGATGTCGTGTTTCTGTCACGTGGCCCGGTTTATACAGTGAACAGTCTGAGCTGATCCTGGATCAGCAGGAAACCAGACTCACTGGCAGATTACCAAAATAAAACTCATGTTAAACAGGTTTTTTGTTAGTAAAAGTAGAATATTCGAACATGTAAGTAGCAAATAAAGAAAATAATCATACAGTAGTAAACAGATATAAAAAAAAACAGGTTACTAAAGGAAGCATGAATACTGAAAACAACACATAATGATTTGAGTTACACGTCCAAAAAGGAGTGAGAGGAAGAACAAACTTATTTATTACCACCCTTTCTTCATAAATTAATAATAGTCAGCTGTGTAGCTCCCCATCAGTATTAAGTTTTACAATAATTAAATCTCCTAGACTTATTCTAATATATTAAATTAATCACCAATTATATTTATCTTACAGCGAGATATAAAATGATTACAAAAAAACTTGGAAAATAAAAATTCTTATATATATAAACCTTCTTTAAAAAATGATCTCATCTTTATATTCTTATCAAATCATGACAGATTGTTTTGCTTTGTCAAACTATGTATATACACAAACTAACATATGCACACATATACACACAACTGATGGCAACAAATAAATGAATAAATAGTAAACATCTGCTGATAGTCAATCACCGTCCTCAGTCTTGAACCTTGTACCAAATCTTGTGCCAGCATTTAAACACTTTTTATTTTATTTTAATTTATATGTGCTGTGTAAATATAAAGGTTTTTGTTGTTGTTTCCTTTCAGAATAAAAGTCTCAGACTATAAAACAAGGATTGTTTCCGGCTACAAGTTTGAAAATAAACCCAATATTGAGCTACGGAAAAGTAAATAGTTTGACCAATTTACAGTTTGCACTGAAGCAAGGCCATTTCTACTCAAAGATATCAAATTATGTTTTTGAAGAATTTGAAAATGTGTGCCATTTAATTGTTTTCTGATCTGTTATCTTTAATATTTGTTTGTATAATAACATTATAGGCTTGATTATTTATCAGGAGACCTGAAAGCATGCTTTAAACTTAGCAGTAAGGGAATATATTTCCATTTGTGACACAGGATTAGCTGCTTAGAAAATACATTGTTCTAAGTGACCTAATTGCCATTTTTCTTGTTTATATTTTTTGATTTTTAATTTTTGGCTGGCCGAAAAGTTGTCAAAATGTAAAATAGTGAGTCTTAAAGGTCTAGTGTGACGCTTTTACTGACATCTAGTGGTGAAGTTGTAAATTGCAACATACTGAAAGATGTCCCATGTGCCAAGCGTGGAAGAAAACTAATGGCCCTATGTAAAGCCAGCGTTGGTGTTCTGGGCTACTATAATGAACACTTAACAGCAAAGAAAAGTAGCTTTGAATATTATATTCAATTTCTGCCAATATATTCCCTTAAATCACACACTGGTCCTTTAAAATACTAAAATCAGCTTATAACTGTGTGTTCCTTTGTTAAATTATTGCATTTAACTGCTTTTAAAAAACCCAGCTTTCCAGTAACAACAACAGAGGACATGACTTCAACAGTACAATGGCTATGACCTTACCTCTATCCCAAGTGTTTATATTTGAAGCTAAAATACAGCTATATTTGCTTTAATGCAAAATCTAGATGATTGTTTGATAAAACACACTATGTGGTCTCAAAGGAGAGACAATACAGACGATAATTATGCAAAATATATATAAAGAAAGATTCAAAAACTTACCAGCCATGTTATGATATTCACCTACATAAGCTGCACTATTACTTTATATGATGTACAATAAAACTTTTCAATATCTTGTTCAATATTTTCTCAACATCATGTGCACTTTTACTTTTCAATATCAATATCAATATCAAAATCATGTGCAATACTACTTCTAATTGTTTTATCATATACAATATAACATTTATTATCGGGGCAGAGTGGTTTTTCCACCATTTTAGTTCATTTTTGGTAACTCTTGTTCTTATCGTACTTCTGTTGTTCCTCTGTTAGACACTGGTTTTGCTTTTGCTCCTTGAGAACACTTCTATCTTGTATATTTGTATATTTTGCCGGATATTTAAAACTATTGTTTCTAAAACTGGACCCAGTGAGTGACCCTGACCTGGTTGTTCTGGTAGTGAACATTAAATTGTGGCAACTGTACTTGGTGTTATTGTAATTTAAAGCATTCTCTGGCACAAGAATTGCCTTAAGGATAAAGGTCCCCTGAACTGAATTGAATTGAATTGAATTGAATTGAACTGAGTGATGTCCTGCTGCCTCTGGCTGCAGGTGTTATACCGCCCTCTAGCGGCAGAAAAGAACATGGTCTGATTTATTCTTGTAGTGGGTGATCGGAGCAGGAGCAGCCACCAGGTGGAGACAAACACTGACTGATTCACACCTCAGTTTGGAACAAACGCTACAAACCAAATGCAGGACAGTGTTCCTCCTCTAACCCTGACCTGACCTGGATTTATAGGCCTTCATCACAGCAGACATTTTGACTCAGTGGGAAAATCAGGTGTTACTAATAACATCAGTGATGGCTCTGTTCTGTTGAAGTGATACTGACAGTGAGACACTGAGCCAAAATCTCCTGGTCCACCGCTTCACTCCAGACTGAAAATATCTCAACAACTGTTGGACAGATTGCCATTAAATTTTGTACAGATATTCACAGTCCCCAGAGGATGAAGCTCACTAACTCTGATGATCTGTAGAGACACCAGCAGGTCAAAGTTTCCACTTATCCCATGAATCATCTCAACATCTGTCTGTGGATGTATCAGCGTTAACTGTACAAACATTTATGGTTGCAGAAGATGAATCTGAATCGACAGATTAGCTCCACCATGAAGCTGACATTTCACTGAAATGTCTCATCATGTTGCCACCAATACCTTACTACAATAACTGAAAGCACTGCTGTCCTTTATAAAGGAGAGTGAATTGCTCTTGTTGGATCACTTTGTATTATAAAGGTTTAATTAATGAATCACTGTGATATTGTTTGGGGGCGGTTGTGCATCAAGAGATAACTGCATTACAGTAATCACTTCGGCTATTAACTGTTGCTTGTAAATTGCTTGTAATATTTCTATTATATTCTTACAGTAAGTCATAATGAATCAGTGGCGCTCAGCATTTGTGATCTTATTGTAATTAATGGGGTCTTTTTTATTACGATAATGTTCACATTATTGCAGCCACTGATTTACAGTATTATTTTTGTTGTTTGCATAATAATGTAATAAAAAAATGCTTTAAAGTTCCAGATGGCTTTAAAAAAAATAAATAAATAAATAAATTCTTTACTTATTTACAAAAAAAAAAAAAAAAGTTTTTGTAAATACTGCGTATCTTCAAGGTTCTGGGAAACACAGCAAAACAAAAGAAAAAAGTTTAGGATAAAATGGTGCTAAAACTGATGTTCTGCAGAACCTACAGGCCTGACATAATTATGTTATTTCAAAGTTTAGTGACAATATGCAATCAAAATGACAATAGTTGTACTCACTGATGTTAATTTGTTGTTACTGTGTAATTAAAGAGTTACAATAGTCCTGTAGTATTTTAAATGTTCTTCAGTAAGTCAGTGTAGCTGCTACCTTGGACAGGTCTGTCTTGTCCTGAAAAAATTTTGATCTCATTTGGACTTGCTGACAATTAAATTAAATTAAATTAAATTAAATTAAATTAAATTAAATTAAATTAAATAACCCCTTCATCTGAGTTTGGAGATTTTCCCAAAACCTCTTTTGTCACCTCACTGTACCCATGCAGTTTAATCATAACTCTGAAATACCTTCATTACCTTACAGGTTCAGCAGAATATCATGTAAGTGTTATAAGTGTTATAAGTGTTTTTCCCCCCTAACAGTGTTGTGCAATAGCACCATGTAGGTTCCCAGGATACATACAAAAATACTGGAGTATAATTCATTTATTCTTTTCTCTTAATTGCCCAATTGTAACTCCTGACAGTCTTGTTTTCTTCCACTGTAAATCAAGTAGAAATCAATATTTTATTGGTACCTTATTTTAACAAATTTATCTTGAACAACACAGGCTGTATTTTAAAGCGATACTTAATGTTCCTTCATTATAGTCAGTAGATTTATTTATTTAGATTTTACTTTGTGATATCTGTATCACTTTACACTATAAGTTATCACAGAAAAATTACATTTCTTTTGTGTGAAGGAATCTGAAACTATTCTGTCCAAATTGTAAATATTATTCTGTATTATTAGAGGTCTGATCAGTTACATCTAAGCTCGACTGATTATATTTTGGAGCCTCAATGTTCATGTGAAGTTTTCATCTTGAATTTTGGTGTGTAATTTAACCAATACAGATTCAGAAACCTGAGTTTATTCATTTATTTATTTAAGCTGACTTGAATTTGTAGATCTAGAAATGACCAATGAAACTTGACCAACTTGAATAGAGTATTTTTTTGTACATTGTCATTATTGATTAATCTGTCCAGTAGTTTACCAATTAATCAATTGATTGTTCAGTTTTTAAAATGTCAGAAAAAAGGTGAGAAATGTCCACCACAGTTTCCCAGAGCCCGAAATGACATCAACACCTTGTTTTGTCTGATCAAAGGTCTTAAAACCCCAAATATTCGGTTTACAATTACATAAAGCAGATAAAAGTGTCCAATCATCACATTAGAGAAGCTGCTGAAAAAGGACGACAACAATTACCTGACTTTAAACTGGAAATTTCAAAACCCGCCCACATTAAAGAATACTGTTGGCAGTGGAAACACTAGGGTCTAGGTACCATGTCTGAAGGGTTACTGTTATGAAAGTGTTTGGTGGAAACGGGGCTTAAGAGCATCAGTGTAAATTCTCTGCAGTTATTATCCCCAGTGGTGGAAATGATGGACGGTAGAACAATGGAAGTAACCGTGGAAAACAAAATGCAGTGTGTCCTGTGTTGCTGGTCGTTGTCTG